TCTATGGTTCTGCTCCTGATCTAGCTGTCCTTTTAGTTTGCTTTTGTTTTAGGTGTGGTTGTTAGTAACTGTGAGTTTGCTGTCCTTTCACTGTTCATATTTTTTAATCTTCTTTTTCTTAAATAAGTCTCTTTAACATTTCATATAATAAGGGCTTGGTGATGATGAACTCCTTGAACTTGACCTTATCTGAGAAGCACTTATTCTGTCCTTCCATTCTAAATGAAAACTTTGCTGGATACAGCAATCTTGGTTGTAGGTCTTTGGATTTCATGACTTGGAATACCTCTTTCCAGCCCCTTCTTGCCTGTAAGGTCTCTTTGGAGAAATCAGCTGACAGTATGATGGGAACTCCTTTCTAGGTGACTGTCCCCTTATCTCACACTGCTTCTAGGATTCTCTCCTTCATTTTCATCTTGACTAATGTAATTATGATGTGCCTTGGTGTGTTCCTTCTTGGGTCCACCTTCTTTGGTATTCTCTGAGCTTCCTGGATTTCCTGGAAGTCTATTTCCTTTGCCAGATTGGGGAAGTTCTCCTTTATTATTAGTTCAAATAAGTTTTCCACTTGTTGCTGTGCCTCTTCCCCTTCTAGTGCCCCTATAATTCGGATGTTGGAACATTTCAAGATGTGCTGGAGTTTCCTAAGCCTCTCCTCATTTTTTGAATTCTTGTTTCTTCATATTTTTCTGTTTGGTGGTTTATTTCTTTATTCTGGTCCACTCCATTGATTTGAGTCCCAGTTTCCTTCCCATCACTATTGCTTTCCTGTGCGTTTCCCTTCATTTCAATGAGTTTCGCCTTCATATGTTCCTCTAATTTGTGGCTATAATCAACCAGTTCTGTGAGGATCCTGATCACCAGTGTTTTGAACTGTGCATCTGAAAGTTTTGCTATTTCTTCGTTGCTTAGATTTATGGGCTCTGGGGCTTTGAGATCTTCTTGAGCCATTTTTGGTCTGTTCATGCGCATTAATTATGAGGAGCAGAGCCTTAGGTGTTTAACCAGGGCGGGGCCGCCCAGGTGGCTGGGTTGTGACGCTGTATGTGGGGGCGGGGTCAGAGCGGGGAAATGGTGGCCCCCTCTGCTGCCTCTGGCTGCTGGGGCCTGCTCAGTCACGTCTCACCGCCCACTCCCTCGCTCGTCTATCTGTGCACGAATGCGGGACCACAGTCAGCTCCTCGCTGGGTATGCGGGTCGCTCACTGGGTTGTTCACTGGGTTACTCACTGGGTCTGCTCGTTGCAACCCCACGCCTGGGATCCGCGCGCCTGAGTCTGTCTGACCGAGTTTTTCTGTGCAACCCTGCTCCACCAGCTGTTGGCTTCGCCCCTCTTACCGGTCAGGCTGAAGAATTGGTTTTTATCAGACTTCCGAAAAGTTCAAATTTCTGTATTCCAGCTGTGTTTTCTGTTGCTAATATTTTGTTGTCTGTAAACTTGGTTGTGGGAGAAAACATGGCCTCTCCACCTATGCCTCTATCTTGGCGGAAGTCTCCCTGTTGTTCTTAAAGCCAAGAAAATACTCCATCAAACTTGTGAATAAGAAACTACCTTGCCAAATTAATTCATTAAATATATATTTATATTGAGTGTCAGTTTTATGTCAGAAATGTGAAATTCTGAAGTGATGAGGAGAGATTCTGCTAGGAGAGATAAGTAGGTAAAGCAATAACTACAATGTTGTGCGAGAAGTTCTGTGATGGATATGCACATGGGGTGCCGTTCACCTGCAGAGCTTGGGGCCTTCTTGGTTCAGGGAAGGCTTTTGGGGTTCTGCCATGGCTAATGCTGGGCCTGAATTTCTCTTTGAGTAGTACGAAAGCAGGATGGGAGGGACTGAGACTGGAAACAGGGAGACAGGTAATGAAGCAGGGTCAATGGGAGTGGATAGATTTGAGAATCTTTTGGTGAGAGAATCAATCTGACTTTGTGACTGAGAGTCATGATGAGAGAGGGCAGCTTTGGCTCAGGTTTCTGACTAAGCCCACTGTTGGATGCTCAGCTTAGAGAGCCTCCCTCAATAATTCACAAAATGACTGTGCTGTTTATAATGTATTATTTATTCTCCTTTAACTGACAGTCCAGTATTTAGTTAGCACCTATCATAACCCAGCTACTATGATACAAACTGAGGATACAAAAGAGAAATCTGTGTTCTCGTGAAGCTTACATTCTTATGGAGGAAATAGATGTCAAAAATTAAGAGAAATAAGGCAAGAACAAGGGATAGAGAATGACCAGGGCAGGAAAGATTGGGGTAAGGGAGATTAAGATTAAAAAAGATTAAGGAAGACATCTTGAGTTGATATGTGAATAGAGTCATTTCAGGTGAAGGGAATATGTATAAAGGCCCTAATACAAGAGCGTGTTTGGCATGTGTCTTAGTGTAGAGGGAAGCCACAATGAGTGAAGTGGGATAAACAATAGGGAAAAAAAGAGATAAGCAGTGGTCAGTTCACCTGGGGCTTTTGCACTTCATTCTACATATGATGAAAAGCCATAGAAGGGTTAAGAGCAAGGGAGTGACATAATTAACTCCGGCTACTGTGTGGAAAAAGTAGTCTGCCAAGGGACAGGAGACAAGATGCAGAAGTGAGCAGACTAAGCAGGAGGCTGATGCAGTGTTCCATGCAAAGGCTAGTGCTTACTTGGATGAGAGTAATAGCTGTGAGGTGCAGAAATTGTCCAATTTGGGAGGTATTTTGAAGATTGAATCTATAGGCGTCGTTGGAGTAAGAAAGAGAAAACTCGGGTTGTGCCAAGGTTTTGCCCCAAGCAGCTGAGTTACTGGTGACTCCATTTGGGGGGAGTAGGAGACAAAGTGATCCAGAATAGCCAAAAAATAGTCCACACTTTCTGATTTTGCAACTTATTAATCAAGACAGTGTGGTACTGACATAAGGATAGAAATATAGATCAATGGAATAGGATTATGAGTCAAGAAGCAAAATCATACATTTATACGCAGTTTTTGACAAAAGCATGACAGTTCAGTGGGTGAAAAATAGTCTTTTCAACAAATGTGGCTGGGACAACTGAATATCCACATGCAAAACACGTAGAGCTCTACCTCACACCATATATTAAAAAAATGGATCAAAGGCCTAAATGTAAGTATGAAAGCTATGAAACTCTTAGGGGTCAACCTCCATGACCTTAGATTTGACAATGGATTTTTAAATTCTTAGACACCAAAGGAACCAGCAATAAGGAAAAATAAATAAATTGTACTCCATCAAATTTTAAAATTATCGTGCACCAAAGGACAGTATCAAGAAAGTGAAAGAAAACCTACTGAATGGGAGAAAATAACTTGCAAATTATGTCTGTACAGGTCTAGATTCCAGAATATAAAAAGAATTCTTACCATTCAACAACAAAAACATAACCCAGTTAAACCAAAGGGATTGTATAGACTTTTCTGTAAAGAATATGTGCAAATGGCCAACAGACACATGAAAAGATGATCAACATGATTAGTCAGTACTCAAAAGCATAATGAAATAACACCTCATACTCACTAGAATGACTGTTAACAAACACTCCAACCTAAAAATAACAAATGTTGGTAAACATGTGGAGAAATTGGAACCCCGGCACACTGTCGGTGGGAATCTGACATGACAGTGGGAGAAGAAGGAATGGAGTACCCACACGTGGTGTAACGTGGGTGAGCCTTGAAAATGTAGGTTGGGTGAGGGACGCCACTTACAAAGCCCACAGACTGTAGCTCCCTTTATAGGACATGCCCAGAAGAGGCAAATCCATAGATGCAGAAAGCAGATAAGTGGTTGCCTATGTTGGGAGTTTGGGGGAAAATGGGGAGTGAGTATGGATAAGAACAGATTTATTTTTTAGTTAATGAAAATGTTCTAAAATTGATGTAGGAATGGTTGTACAGCTCTGGATATACTGAAAACCATTGAATATATGTGAATTATAGCTTCATATATTGAAGCTATAGTTGTTATATTGAAATAAAAAGAATGAGGATGGCAGAATCAGGATGGGTATTGGAGGTGTGAGGATAGTGAGGAGAATAGTGGGGAGGATGTGAAAGAGCCTCTGAGCGAGCACAGTAATAAGCCGACAATGGAAACATTAGGCTGTACTGACGGGCCGCTTGAGGTTTGCGGTCTTCAATATGATGTGAGCCCAGTCGGCACGGTTGGGCGGTGGAGGTAGGAACACAGAACAGGTGAAGGGCTAGATTTCACCAAGACTGGGTTTTCCTGGGGAGCACAAGGGAGATTAGAAATAAGTTGAGGGACTCTTCAAAGCAATTGTTAATATGGTAACTGAGATCTAAGTTAGGCAAGAAGGAAATTGAGGACCTGACAGGATAATGGACATGGAAAAGGTGACAGTCTGGAATTAGATGTCCTGGAGGGGCTGAAAAATTATTGGAGTTAGGGTGCTAGAGGGTGTGAGTTGGAAAAGGCAGGTGGTGATGATCAGAGAAATGGACTTTTGAACTTGAGATCTTGCAAGTGGCCCAGTTATTACCGACAGGCTCAACCAGGGCTTCTCAGCAGAACCATGAAACATAGAAAATGAACAGATTGTTCTACTTCTCCCAAGGAGGGTACAGAACTGGTACCAGACACTCTAAATGCAGCAGAGAGAGGTTAACTCATCACATACAGTGGATGCCTTAGGGCATTAGGCTTGCTTCTCTCTCAGATCCCCCTCGAGAAAGGCCAGGATGGTATGATCCATAGGACTAGCCAAGCAAGTGAGAGGCAAGCATAGGGAATGGAGCATACCTTAGATTGAAACTTATAAAAACTGCCACTTCATATGCTTCAGTCTCATATAGTTTGTAGATACTGAAATCACCAAGAATGATGGCTGCAGTGGTGAAGAGAGAGACAGTCAGTGACATGTTCAAGTTTTCAGTGAATGACGGGAAGTGTGGGGGACCGGCAACCAGGAGGACAGGAGATGACTGCTCCGAGGTGGGTAGCAGGGGTAACACGTGGTTTGTGCTTTGAACTAGGTCTTCCCAGTGGACTGGAAGCAACAGCGAGGAGGAAGAGGATATCCACCCCGACTCCAGGTCAGTAGCGCTGTGATGTAAAGAAGAAACAAGCCAATGCTTGAGAAGGTACGAGGAGAAGCAGTGCCCTCCTAAGAGGACAGCCTTCTTTCAGTGACAACAAGAGGATGAGAACTTTCAGAGGAGGCTGAGCAAGCACATCAGGGGTTTAGTCCACCGGTGACACGAATTCCGGAAGGCGTTTGTTTCCAGAGTAGGCGTGGACGACCGAGTGAGGTTAGAAAAGTGCCCCCAGAGGACAGGTCAGAGTCATGGAGGGATGGGAAGCTAGGTGGTGAGAGAGGCCAAGGAGCCTTGAATTTCTCAAGATGTCCAAGGTGAACAGACTGAAGGCCTGATACTACTGCATTAGTCCTGGTTGTCTCTTAAAGGAGCAGTGCTAACCAGTAGAACTGTCTTCAGGGACAGAGATGTTCCAAATCTCTGGGGTCACGTATGGAAGCCAGCAGTCATGTATGGCTATTGAACATGTGAAATATGGCTCATGGGACTGAGGAGCTGAATTTTAAATGCTATTTAATTCTGATTAAGATTTAAATTTTAAAAGCCACATCACTCAGAATGGTAGATAATGAATTCTAATGATAACCCTTTTTGGAGTTTCTTAGGGGAGGCCAGCAGCATTGAGGCCGGCAATGTGCAGGTGAAACACACTCCCTTTCTCATTACATCCCACTGAGGAAGAGCCTGGCTGGAAGAGAGGCACTTCCAACGGGAATACCTGCAAGTCTGTGGCCTCCTGTTACTTTTTGCTGAGGTGGTTTTGAGTTGAGGGAGATATATTGAGAATACTAACTTCTGTCATTCTGTTAAGTCTCTTTTTTGTATTTATAATTTCTACTCCCCTCAAGCAGCCATTGTGTCCACTGTTAGTTCTAGGCCATGTGTTTTTATTTTTGATTGCTTGTCTTTGGGTTTTTGGAAACAAATATGCTGATGTCTACATAGTATATATTGATAAATAACTGTTCTGTAATGTTTTGGTTGTTTACTGTTCATTCAGTTTGTGAAAGTTAGTATGGGAAGCACTTAAGCCTAATACCTAATCTGAGTTATAGACAGGCTGATAAATGCTTATTCTAAGGATGCACTTAAATCTTTGGATAAGGCTAAGAAATAAGTCAGGAAGAATATTAATGACAATTAACAATTTGTGTTTGCTGAGTGCTTTCTGTGGGTTGGACACCCTTACCAATTATTTGAATTATCTGATGTGATCCTTACCAACTCCCGTGAGGGAGATACTGTATCATCTCATTTTGTAGGTACGTCGGCTAACACACTGTGTTTTGCCATGTATAGTGTACACCAATGTTTTTGGCCCAAACTTTCAGGAAAAAAGTCTTTCATTTGAATTTTTAAATTCAATTATTTATATTTAGATACTTATTTTTCATATTGTAAAGGAATTTTAGCATTTATTTTTTAACATATTACAATACTAGAAATTTTATGTAACAAATAAATGACAAAACACAAGAACAGGTACACAATGTTTCAGGCACTACCTGTGTATAACGTGCACCCTTATTTTCCTCTCAAAATTTTGGGCAAAAAGTGCACATTATGTGTGGTAAAATACAGCAGTACTCAGATTATCGGCCTGCGGCAAACAGTGAGTAGAGTCTCAGTTTGGACACCATTTGGCCCAGCTCTGAAGTTGGTGTACTTTATTCCGCCAGGCCCTGCTGCTTCCTTGCATCTTAACAGTGCCAAGGCGAGTCCCTAGTGTAGCTCCTTAGGGTGTGTTTATCCAGGGGTATGAAAAGGGTTGAGTTAGTGGTCGTTGGTGTATAGGTGGCTCTCCCAGCAGTTAGTGACACCTTTCCTCTCCTCCATTTTGCTTACTTTGCCCTGGTACTTGTTTTCCTCAGACTCCACTGTTCCCTTTTGAATTTTTGGCTGTTGTCACCAGCAGCAAGGGTTTTGGGTTTCAGTTTCATACTGAATTCTTTGCCTGCAGCTGCTTGAAATTGCTGTCTCAACCCTCACAAACTGGAGTTGGAGGCTCCTTTAATAGCAACTTATACTTTCTGTTCCTTTGTAAAGGGTAGTGGGTTTCAGAGGAAAAACTGAGCTGCAAGGCCTAGTCCAGTTCACCCTGGAGAGCCTAAGAGATAACCTCAATAGGAGAATTGGCACACAGTTCCCAGCCACCTGCCAGGTCTCTCCACTCACTCGCATTCTTTTCCACCTGCCCACTCACTTACACTTAAACTTCTTCTCTTGCCATCCTTTACCTTCTGATTTCTCAGGAGAGGCAGTCTGCTCCTGTAGGACATATGCTTCTTTGAAGTTAGACTTGCGTTGTGTTCCATCGGGTTTTTGTCGTTGTTGTTTTAGTTTTGAGATCTTGATCAGGTTACTTAATATTTCATCATCTATAAAATACAGATAATGATATATGCCTTGTAGGGTTTTATTTTAAGGATTAGAGATTATAACGTCCCTGGTACAGAGTAGGTCCTCGTACAACAAGAGCTCTTTTCCCCTTGAATCCGTTGCTATGATTTAATTGGGCAAATTTTCATTAGCATTTAATATGTGCTTTATTCTGCCGGGGATCCTGAAGAGATCAAAACAAAACTCAGAATCTCTAAGTTCAGAAAGATGCATGGTGTAGAAGAGACTGGCATACAACAAGTAACAGAACTGTGCTGAGTGCAGTAGAGGTACATGTAAAGTGCGAGAAGCAATTAATTCTTTTCCAGCGCTGTCTATGGAGTGGTTTCCAAGTATTCATTTTTGAAAAATACTTGGTAGTTAAGATTGGGGACAAATGGAAAGAGAGAGAGAGAAAAAACAACTCTTAAAGGTTTCTGTAATCTGTGAGGTGCCAACCTTTTAAGAATTGATTTCAGCAAGACCCTTGATAAAATCTCTCATGAAGTCCTTGTACATGAGATGGGAAATGGGGCTGGCTGATAGAGTGGGAGGAGGATTTGGTGGTGGTTATACAACGATGTCGAGTGGCAGTACTTTATTTTTACTTACAAAATCTCTGGGTTGGAAAGAACCTTAGAAATAGATTGTCTACTCTCCATAATCTGATCTTTTTTCTCCCTTTTAGTTTTTAATTTCAACAGTACAGAAAGTATGTAGTGAAAAACATACCTCCTTACTATTCCAGTCATCAAGTGTTCCTGCCATTCTCTCCAGAGACAAACACTGTTCGTAGTTGCTTGTGTGTACAACCTGGTTTAATTATGCATATCTCTTTATACGTGCTGTTACAGTTGTTTGTGTGTGCTGTTTCCCTTAATACACTGTATCCTCCTTAGGACCCCTCCTCATCATTTCTTCTATCTCCCCAAATTACTTGCACATCGAAGATTCTCTATCAATATTTGCTTTATTAAGTATGTAAAAGAAACTTGGACCGGGGGGCGAAGACAGGCTTCTCTGGTAACATGCCACAGTTCTTTGTCCTTGGCTCTGTCCTTTAAAACCATTTGTCCCCAGTGGGTTGAATGAAGATGCAGAAAGCCTGCTTGTTACGTGTACAAATGACACAAAGCTGGAAAAGAGAGCTAATAACATCAGATGATAGAATCAAGACAACAAAGGAGCCCTGGCTGGTCTGGCCCAGTGGACTGAGTGCTGGCCTGTGAACCAAAAGGTCACTGGTTCGATTCCCAGTCAGGGCACATGCCTAGGTTGCAGGCCAGGTCCTCAGTAGGGGGCACTCAAGAGGCAACTCCACATTGATTGGTGTTTCCCTCTCTTTCTCCCACCCTTTCCCCTCTGTCTAAAAATAAATAAATAAAATCTTTTAAAAAGAAAAGAAAAAAAGACCGCAAATGAACTCAACAGACTGGAATGCTCACCTGAAAAGAACAGGGACAACTATAAAGTCCTGTGTTTAAAGGGGGAAAATACCCAACAATGTAGTTACTTAAGTATAGAATTAGGACACTTGTCTTAATAACATATTATTTGAGGGTGATTTGGGTAGGCAGGGGATGAACCTTGTCTTTAAGCTCAATTTAAGCCAGTCAGACATAGTGACTGGAAAAGTACAAAATCTCCTTTGGGTGCTGCAGGTTGGGATAGTGCGCACAGACCTTTCCCTGTGTGGCCTGAGTCTTTAACTCTCATGGCAAATTGGGGGTAAATAGATCTCATCAGCAAACACGGGCATATCTTCCGCATGGCGGTTGCAGTACACGTGCTGAAGGGGCTACTCTGTGTTAGAAAGGCAGAGGTTTCCCAGGAAGTGCGCCTCTCCCAGTGGAGTAAGATCTTCAACTTTGCTTCTTCCTCTACATTTCCTCTTTCATATTCAGAGTCTGCTGCCAACTAACAGTTTTTCTTCTTTTTTCTTTTTGTGTTGAAAGTGTCAACTTGGAGAAAAGTAGAGGCCCAGAGCAAGAGTGACAGTGGGACAGCTGCCCAGACTGCCCTGGACGTTGAGAAGTAAGTAGGTTGTCTGTGTTCAGGGAGCTCCTGTTCAGCACGCTGTTGCTGAGAACGGACAGAGAGACCAGTGACTCTCTTGCCCTGGGTTTCTTTGGCCTGCCAGTCGTTGTTCCCTCGGATGCCCGACTTTCTTATTCCCAGTCTGTGTCAGTGTGTGTGGCCTCCGTATATCCCTTTCTATTACCCTAAAAAAGCCTTCTGCTACTCCAGTTCCACATCGCTTTTAGCTTTGGAATCAGAGCATAAGTGAAAACAGTAAAGCTTGATTTCAACTCATCATGTTTTTTTTTTTAAAGATTTTATTTATTTATTGTTAGAGAGGCAAAGGGAGGGAGAAAGACAGGGAAACATCAATGTGTGGTTGTTTCTCACATGCTCCTACTGGGGACCTGGTCCCACAACCCAGGCATGTGCCCTGACTGGGAATTGAACTGGTGACCCTTTGGTTCATAGGCCATCGCTGAATCCACTGAGCCACACCAGCCAGGGCAATTTGTCAGTTTTTAAAGTGGTTTAGATTATGGCGATTTAATAGAATACAAGAAAGCAAGAAAATGTGCCACACTTATACCAAACTAAGGATATTGAGTTAGGTTACTAATGTCTACAACTTTAGTTTTGTTTTAACACTATCAGCCAAAATAAACTTTATTCCCTGTAACTTAAAATATATGTGTGTATATCTATATATGTATGTATATGTGTAGATGTGTGTATATGTATAATAGTTTATTATGTATAGTTTAATCCCACAGTTCTGGCTGCATTCAACTAATTTTGAAATTAAAAAAATTTTTTTCTTTGAATGTGCATATTTGTATTTGGTGTTTTGGGAAGTAGTGAGCTATTTTGTGATGTAATGATACAGAAGTTGAATTGCAAAAGGTTGGGCAATGTAGACAACCTCCTTGGCTTGCGGGTTGTAGCCTAAGAAAGTGCAGTGCATTCTGGGGGACTTAGGGGGTCGGGTTGAAAGTGCTGTCTCCCGAAAGGAAGGACGTTGCCAGCAGTCCATCAGAGCAGGTGGTCATTAGGCAGAAACATTTATCTTTGAAACACATTTTAGAGTTCCTCCCCTAATCCAGGCGAGCGGAGTTGATCACCGCTATGTGTGGAATCCTGCCATCGTGCGGACATTCCTCTAGGACTGTGTCATCGCTGCAGCACACTTCATCAGAGTGTGTCGTGGTCAGGGTTTTTTTTTGACATTTCTGTTTCCCTGGCTAGACTGTTAGTTATTTGAAGACAGATACTTGCCTTCATTCCTGCTCTGTTCCCCAGCAGCTAATGAAATGTGTCTGAGACAGCAGCAAGAGTAAAAGCTATTTGTTGAGCACCTAATATTGTGTGCTGGCCACTGTGCTAGATGCTTGGTTTACTATATCACTCTCACAATGGATGGTAAGGAAGGTAGTGCCTCTTTTTTGTCTTTTTAATAAAGAAACTAGAGAGAAATTGGAAGTAACTGGTTGAGATCATGTGGCCAGAACTGGCAAAGCCTGCCTGACTCACACCCTTTCCCCAGTGCCACTGTCCCTCACACAGTAGGGATGAGTAGGCGCTTTCTGCTTTAACTGTCAGCCATGAGAGAGACACTCGGCTAGCTCTTCTCGTGAGGAAGAGTGCATCCTTCTCATGGTGGAGTGCTTGAGAGACTGACTTCTTCCATTTTAAAGACCTTCAGGGAAACTCTTCGTTAGAGTTAATCCAGTTTCCCCTGCTGTAGTAATTGAATAGTAACAGCCAGAAAGAGAAGTCTAAGAAAGCAAACTTTGGAAAGTTGGCTTTAGCTTCTTAAAATTAAGATGCTGTTCTTATGAGCCAGTCAGACCTGGCCTCTGACAGTTATTAGCTATAGGACCTTGGGGAGAAAAGCACCTTTTTAATGGGGCTGGAGACTTAATTGAGAAATTGTATTTAGAGTGCCTTCCACCAGTTCTCACCACAGAGGAAATACTCAATAAATGTTCATTTTCTTCCTTTGTCCCCAGTGATTCCATTTTCCCCCAATGTCCAGTAAACCTCACCTCAAGGACACAATGCCCTCTCTTTCCACAAACTCAACTGTTACAAAAAGTTAAAAAATAACTATGTGTATGAATTCATGCAGAAGCCTCTGGCAGAACCACATGGTTTTGGTAACTTCCTAGTTGCAGTTGTAGAATTAAGGAAGTTGGCATATGGACAGACTTGATTCACTAATCAGACAAGTTCATCTACTTTCGTAAAAATTGTAATCTTGATTAAATGCTCTTGGTGCTCCCTTTTCTGTCAGAATGTTAGCTTACCTTTGAAAAGACTGTTACACTTACTTTCAGAAGAGTTTGACAGAACAGTTTATGTTTGAAGAGCAGTCAGCGTTGTTTGAGGTGGAGGAGGTGCTTTTATTGCTGTCCGACCGCTGCAGCTGTGGGGCTCGGAGGAGCTGCGAAGGAGAACCACTAAGCGCTCCGTCCTTTTGATTGTCAGTGGGCTGCTTCTGTCGGCAGCCCTGCTGAGCAACTCTGCATTGGTTGGCAGGCCTACTCCACAGAGTAACTCAGAGACGTAAAAACACAATTTGAGATATACCCAGGATGCCAGTGGCAAAAGCAAATCTTAAAACTGCTTTATATTTTTTTTCTTCTGATTGGCTAGGAATGAGAAGTGTTATCTCTGTAAATCCCTGGTCCCATTCAAAGAGTACCAGTGTCATGTGGAATCCTGTCTCCAGCTGGCAAGGGGTGACCAAGGAGACGGGCCTGCAGAGAGTGGGAGAGCGCACTTGGCCGTGGAGGGGAAGCAGCAGCAGTGGCCGCGGAACCCAAAGGTCGGTGCGGTGTTCTGGGAAAGACGGACCCTCCGCAGTTCTGTTCGGGGGTTTTTCTCCCCTCCCTTCCTGCCTCCTTTTCTTCTGTTTGTCTTGAAACAAGACTTGTGCTTTGTAACATTTTTTAATTAAAAAAAAAATACTTACATTTCATTGTAGAAAATACAAATATTTTAAAAAGTGAAGATATTGAATACAAGCTATAACTGAAAAGTGAAATTTTAAAAATATGAAGAATTAGGGAAAATTCCAGTGTTTTTTCTATGCATTTTTAATATAGTTGGCACCATACTGTATGTGTGTATTCACTGAACATTGTAGCATAAACACTTGTCTTGGTTTATTTTTAAACTATTTTTTTAAATACTCTGAATGTTTGTATCAAACAGTCACTTAACTGTTCCCATTATAGGACATTCAGGTTGTTTCTAGTTCTCTGTTACAAAACTACGTTTAAAACATTAATCAGTCTTTGTACCAGTGATTATTTCCTTAGATGGATTTCCTGAAGTGGAATTCTTAAGGCAGTGGACGTAAACATTTAAAAATCTCATGAAACACGCAAATTGCTTTGCAGAAAGGTTCCTCAGTCACACCCCCCGCCAGGAGCCGAGAGACCAGCTTTGCTGAATGTTCTGTGTGCCTGGTCTCAGGAGGCCGCGGGGTGTGGGGCATGGGGCAGGTGCATGTGTTTTCTGGCTTCGTGATTAGAGATTAGGAAGAGCAAATCTTAGCTTAGAAATCAAAAATAAAACAGCAGCTCCATTGTGCAGGCCTAGCGCCATCAGTGCACACTAAGAGGAAGAGCCATTCTCTGTCAGGACATGAGAAAGGGGCCCTGTGCGAACGGGGTGGTTCTGAGGTGGTGGTTTGGAGTTGGGCTTGGACCACAGAGCCAGGGGGTTCTTCTGGCATCCCTGCCCCTAGAAGGTACCTCAGAACTGCTAATTTTTATTTTCAATCTCTCCAAATCAGCTGTAGGCCAAAGGCTACTGTTGTTCAATATGATCTCGGGGGAATAATTTGCCTTCACTCTGGTATCTGTTCTTGGATAATACTGGGCATAAAGATGTGTTCTCTTCACCCTGGTTATCTTTTTCACTTGTGCACCCTCATTTATTAGAAAGCAAAAGGCTTCCCTAGAGGGGCACCTCCATACCCCTTCCTCCTGGAGACAGGTATGATCTGGGCTAAAGGAGTGTTTTAGATTCTCTGCTATGAGGTAACCCTTCCCTTCATTTATTTATCTCTGTCGCAGGAAAAAGGACGCAGTGAAGGCCGACTCCTCAGTCTCTTGGACCAGTCTGAGCACAAGGCTGAAGGTGAGGACTCCGGGACCGGATTTCCGGGTTTCTGGCTAAGGCCCGGCAGTGAGAAGAACCTCCGCCACCTTCCTGTCTGTTGGAGTTAAGTGGATGCACATTTGACCAGAGTAGCCAGCCTTGGAGACTCGGCCTGGGTCATCTCTCCCTAAAGAAGATGGGGAGACAGCCTGTCTTCAGCATCATGCATTCCATTTCAGGCTTTAGAAAGCCTGTTGAACTGGGAAAAAGCATTTCCAAATGCGGGACAATGAAACAAGCCCCAAGTACCCTTTACAGGAACAGGCATGGAAAAGCAGATATGCTGACATTACTGCCTCCTCCTGAGATTTTGTGCTTTATTCCTATGTTGCCTTGAGCTTAGTGTTCAAACCTATGCTCCTGAGGTCTTGTGGGAAGTAACTTTCTTTGTGCCTAGTATTTAGGGAGCATAGAGTAGGTCGGTTATGTGCATTGCATAGAGGAATGCCACCCTCACAGATTGTAAGGATTATATCTAGTAAAGCTCCAGACATATCCCCTGGCACAAATAGGCCCTCGATAAATGTTAGCTGCTGTTATTACTGTGGTGGTTGTTGGTTGCTATTGTTAAAATTCACTAGATGCAAATGGAAGAGGAACTTTTGCTTAAGCCTTTCTGATGACTGTGAAAAGGCAGCCTCTTTGAGCCCCTTGTCCTGCTGCCTCTAGATCAGCAGGTTGTGATTCTCTGCAGGTGGGTTGCAACTCCTTGTTCCTCAGGTCCAGGTTTGAAGTAGGTTTATGCAAAGGGCATTCATTCAAAAGTGTTCACCTCCGTACTTCTGCAGTTGAGCCTGTCGGATGCTAAACGCTCACATTCCCTTGGTGTGGGAACTGGCACTGAGCCACCTGGATCAGTTTGACGAAAGCAGTGCCCAGAACACAGGAAGCACATGATCAGTGAGCAGTGGTATGATTGTGATACTACTAACAACATTATTACTGTTTTTCTCCTATTATAGATGCAAAGATAAAGACCAAGTCTTCAGAAACAGTGGCCTTCAGGTGCATTGGGGTGTGCATTGGGGTGTGACTGTCTGCAGTTCTAGCAAAGGACAGGCCTGGTTCTGGGTTCTGTGTATGGCATGGTTTTCAAACTGTTGAAGGTAGAAATCAGTGGAACTGTATGACTTCTCTGTACACCTCTGTGATAGCCTCGTATCTGGGCTAACAACTGGAGGGGAGCTCAGTTCACTTACGGTGTTACAACTAGCAGAGCAAAAGCTATTTCTTACTCTTCTCTACTCCTCTATCCCCACCCAACCCTGGTCCTCTGACTTGGATTTCCAGCAGCTTGGGAATTTGGTTCTGAATCCTCATTCCCTCACTGTCCAACTGTGTGGCTTTATGTATATGATTTACCTAATGTCCTCATCTGTAAAAGGGGGATGATGGGACTTGTCTGGTTGGATGATGACAGCAGTTATGTGAAGCAATAATATATCTCAGAGCCCCTGCTGCACTACATGATACTGTTTATTAGTGGTGTGTATCAAATTCTGAATTTCCCGCTTCTCTCTAGGGTGCCCTCCCCGGGGATGGAAGAGGCAGGCTGCAGCAGAGACATGCAGAGCTGCTCCCTTGCACAACTCGACTTAACCGAGTCTCCCATCAAGTCTTTCGTTTCCATTTCAGAAGCCACAGATTGCCTAGTTGACTTTAAAAAGCAGTTTACTGTCCGGCCAGGTAGCCGGACACGGACCAAAGCAGGCAGAGGAAGAAAGAGAAAATCCTGAATTTCTAGTGTCTAAAGGCTGACAAGACCGTGAGCAGTAGGGGTGGCCGTGCTCACCAAGCCTTGGTGGCCCAGTTCGTTGCTGAGCAGGTCGTGGCCCTGCCATCCCTGCCGTGAGCACTGCTCAGCGTTCCGGTTTCATGTTTTCTATGATCTGTATGGACATCAGTGTATAGTGTTCTGTTTTATAACAGCCTGTTTGAATTCGCTTGTAGTTCAAAGAAAATTTAAATATATTTATCTATGTTTGTATGAAATCTTATTTCAGTGAGATGGAGCTTCCTTTTTTCCCCTGTGTGTTACAGGGTCTGGGGAGGGGCTGTTTTAATTGTGGAGCTAGTTCTCAGACATAAATTTCATGTTCCTGAATGACTTTTCACTGGTCCTTGCTGTGCAACCCATGTTCACTGAATGTGTAGTGCACACTTCCAGACACTGCAGGCGTATTCCCTTGACCTCCTCTGACATTGTCTGCAGGGGCCGGCACATTGAGTCCTGCTCCTTACTCTGCTGCCTCTACTGTGCCGTGACCCGTTACTTTACTGCTGCCTCGCCCACTCACAAATTCTCAGCCAGAGCATAGAACCTTTGAGGGCTATGTCCCGCTGTTCTTCCCCAGAATCTGTAAGTGAGCACTCTGGTTTTAGTTAGTTCCAGTGCAATTATTTTTCCTTCCTGGAATAACCAGTGGGGATGCCAAGCACATTCATCTGTTAAAAGCGCAATTGGTTCTCTTGCTGTCAGAGATCATAACAGGAACAGGAAGTGGGGTCCATTTCAGAACATTAGTAGAGGAACGCACGTTCTCAGCCACGCTGCCCAGGGTTCCCAGAGGAGAGCAGAGACCAGGTCTGTCCTCAGCGCACGGGCAGTCCTGAGAGGGTGCTGACTGGCAGAAGCGACCGCCTGAGGAAGGTGGCCAGACAAGGACTTCGGAAAGCTAGCTCTGGCCCACACCAATGTGAAGGTGTAATGAAAGATTGTGGGGGTGGTTGCTGAACAGGAAGGCATCATGGGACAGGATGAACAGGGACACAGACTCTCCCAACTTCTGATCTATCAAGTCCAATGTTACCTTTTCCTTTCTTTATTTTAAAATGCAGATGAGGTGTGTGTGAGACTGGGGGGTTCAGAGATACCTAGGATGGAAGGCACAGTTTCCTGCGTGCGTGCCCTGCACACACGCTGTCTGACTTTGAAGGCAGGATGGCAGGCACCCTGCCCTGCCAGTTCCTTGGTGTTGGAGGCACTGATGTTGAGGCCAGCGCCACATGACTAATGCCAGTTAGTTTTTGAGCAGCTGCTGTGGTTCAAGCAGTGTGTGTGCCTTTACTTAGTCCCCACAGCAGTCCTGTAAGGTAGGTATTGTCCTTCCCGATTTTCAGATGAGTGAACAAAGGCTGAGAAGGACAAATAAAGCCACTTTTGTCCATGGTCTCCTCTTCACTCCTTAAGAAAATGCTATAGCCCCAGCTGGTGTGGAGTGAGCCCCAGACTGTGAACCAAAAGGTCGCCAGTTTGATTCCCAGTCAGGGCACATGCCTGGGTTGTAGTCTGGGTTCCCAGTGGGGGGCATGTGAGAGGCAACCACACATTGATCCTTCTCTTCCGCTCTTTCTCCCTCCCTTCCCCTCTCTAAAAGTAAATAAATAGAATGTTTTTTTTATATCCAGGAAAAGAAAATGCTGTATTTTGAAGTATTCTTTTCCTGTCTCCCTAATGAAAGTTAGTTAGTGATGTCCCATCAGCTTAACTCTCACTAGTCTTCTCATGAAATAGCATTTTATTGGAGGTAGAAATCCGTACATGGGGTAGCATGTTACTTCTCTGTCTGAAGGTAAGAAAGGGAAAGGGCTGATTTTACAAAGTGAATATTTAGCTTAAAATGGAACAGTCTACCTAGAATGTGGGTCAGTGGCACATTGTTGGGGGAGGGTGTGGATGAGCAGGACCAGGAACAATAGGCTTTTTGTCAGCTCACAGGGAGTCACGGGAAACAGCCCCCCTCCCCAGACACCCCTTCCCACCTTTCACTGGTAAAGGCTGGTCATGCGGGAGGGGCATTGCTGGGAAGGTGAAGAAGGGAAGTCCATGGAAAGAGTATCCCACCACCCTGAGTCCGGATCCCTGATTCTGATGCAGGTCAGCCTCTCTAGAGATCTAGTTTCCTTATCCATAAAGTGGGGAAAATCATGCAGTGTCCTCGGGGTTAAAATAGTGTGTGTACAGACACAGCACCCATCACAGAAGATGACAGGGCTGTGGCAGCTGTGGTCACTCACGTGGTGCTGGTTCTGTGTGTCCTAAGGAGTGAGGATAGCGTAAGAGGTGGAGAAGCCAGAGGGAGGGTGGGGCGCAGGTGCGGGAAGAAACAGTTCTAAGAGGGGCGAGCCCTCTCCCTTCACTCCCTCAACCACTCTGCACAGTAAGCTGCAGTCCTGGGCACTGAGAGCTCTCCTAGGGGTCTGGGGGGATTTGTGCTTCTTGCAAAGTGGGCGCAGCTGTTCTGGTGTTGCTGACCCGTGGAAATCTAGGAAGCTCCCCAAACTTCACAAGCAGTTGCCATGAATTGGGAGAGGGCCCTTCTCCTTGTGAGGCGTGGTCTCCTTGCATCCTCACAATAGCCCTGTAGCAGAGGCAGTGCCTCGCCCTCTTGTCCCGGGTACTCACCATGCTCGTACAAAACCCTACACGGTCCTATTACAAGAACCTGTGACTCTGCCATAGCCCTTCTCTGGGCGTGTGGGGCACAGGCTGGGAGTGCCGCGTGATCAGGGCCCTGAAGCAGCCCTCAGCCAGTGGAACCTGGAAGTTGGAGGGTGAGCACCCCAGCTTCCTCGCCTCTCAGTGCTACTGGACAGGGACTGGCCCGGAGTGGGTCTGTGGCAGGCCTGCCTGTAGTGTGTGGGTGCTTGTTGGGAAAGACTTCCCAGCACGAGTCCGGGTGCTTCTGAGAGCACATTTATTCAAGCTGGGGACAGCGAGACAAAAGAAGGACCTGGGATGGGAGAGCAACAGGAGAGCGCCCAGGCAGTGCTCTGCTTCAGCTCCCTAGATGTATAGGAAGGGAGTGGGCCAAGGCGGGGCTGTTCTTAGCTCACTGGAAAGTCAGAGAAAAATGGGGCCTTGGAGACAGGATTGGGGGTGAACCTGGGTGGAGCTGCCGCTACCTGCTGCTCCCCTGGCTGCAAGTCTCGTGAGGGACCCTGTGAGTTTAGGAGGAAGTAAAGAGGTTTGTGCCCAGGAAGCGGCATGGCCATGTTCTAGAGTGAGCCTGCACTGAGTCTGCGTCCTGAGGGCTTTTTATCTCCTGCAGGTGAGAATCTTCGGGGAGGGTTTGGGATTATTCTTTGGTCTGTTATACTGTTTTACTTTTATCTTGGATCTGTCTGGCTTTTAATGGGGTTTCTGTTATTTGTTCACCTGACTCTGTCTGTCCTTGGGTTTAGCTGACACATGTGGCATTAATTGGGTCTCTGCTCCCTATTTCCTAGACCAGGGAGATATAAGCTATGTACTCTCCAGTTAGGGAGGAGAGGTGTAAACTGTTTGCTCTCAGGGGTCCTTGATAAGGGGAGATAAGGGTTTGCGATTCACCAGCTGGCTGGAAATTGCTCACTCCTGGGCTCGTGAACCTGAGGGCCCCCTGACATTGGGGACCACAGAAGCCTCACGTGCCACACGTGCATCCCAGCCCTGGCCTGGATCCCTTCCCAACTTAACTGTCTGCTGTCAAATCTGATCGCATCCCGGGGGAACCCACGCTAAGGCAAATGCTATGAAGAAGTGAGTCTACACGTGTTTTACGCCTGGACAAACAGGCTCAGAGAGGCGGAGAAATTTGCCCAAGGTCCTACAACTGGTAGATGGGATGGGATTTGAACCCCGGCCTGCCTGCCAGCAGAGCACATGCTCTCTTTGCTACACTGTGGTACCGCCTACGTTTCCCCCCAGAGACAGAACTCAGTGGAGCTTTCAGGTGTGGATGGGTTCTTTCTCACCTGTGAGGCAGGGCCGCTTTGGCCCTGGGGGGGTGACCTGGGACATGCCCCTCCGTGACTTCAGAGAACAGAAGGCTGCCTGGCCAGCAGTCCTAAGGGATGTGGAAAACTGCACATGGATGCCCCGGCCCTCACAAGGCTCTTGTGTATCACAAAAATGTAAATAAAGCTTTCGTCCGTAACCACTGTTCTCTCCCTGACCCTAAGTAGCACCAAGGCCGGGGGCAGAGCATGGTCTCTCGCCCAATCCGCCGCCGTGGGTGCACTCCCTGGTAATAAACTGCGTGCCCCCATCTGCTGGACCTCCGGGTGGTCTTTTTGGAATATCGCAAATGCAAGCGCAGCTCCCCGGCTTGGAGCTCCTGGGTCCCAGGCCCTGGGTTGCCTTAGTAGACGGAGACCAGGGCGAGGGGAAGGCAGGTAGTGCTGAGTGGATGGTAGTTCCCGTGGGAAGATGGACATGCTGCAGCCCTAGTGGGAAGGCCGCTGAGGTCACGTGCTCCAGGAAGGCTAGCAGAGCTTACCGATTTCCTCTCAGTTGTGGGAGGGCTCTTCAATTTAACAAAAGTTAATAGTGTCCTTCCTTGTCAGGTCTAGAACTGGGCCCTGGGGCTCACAAGATGAACAGGAAGCATGTGCCGGGAGCCCACGACTGTCCACGCAATGGTGGGGAAAATCTGGGGCACCATGGGATCTGTGGGCCACACTAGGCTGGGTCAGGGCCAGGAGGAGCTTATCAGGGAAGGTTCCCCAGGCATCGGTGCTGACCAAGGTGTAATTTAAAGGTGAAAAGGTTGGAGAGGGCAGGGAAGGAGTCATCCTAGAGCAATCAGTGTGAACAGAGACCTAAGAGTGAAGAAGCGTGTGGACATAGGAGAGTTGGAAGGCACCTCCTAGCGAAAGGGCATGGAGGGAGTTGCGGGGAGCTTATTGGAGCCCGTTGGCCTTGTTGCCAGGCACTGTCTGCTTGGGAGCAGCTCAGACCCTCAGAGGCTCTGGTTCCTGGGCCGACAATGGCACTCTGGCTGTGGCCCCCCATTTCTTCCCACTGACCACCTCCCCCCATCTCTTAGTTCCTTCTGGACAGTTGGAGATGGGCACTATGGGGCTGTGAGGGGGCCTTGGCATGGTTGCCCTTCCCTTGTGGGTCCGTGGCCATCTGGTGTTGGCAGAGAACTGCTGGCCGCTGCTGCGCCTCTGCTACAGCAGGGCCGACCAGCTGTTTACAGACCTCTTGTCCAAGTTGCCTCCTCCCTGACATCAGCCTGGGTTCGGGGACCCCTCCTACAGAGGCAGACGGACACAAGATTTCCAGAAACACAGGGAGCCCTGGCGTTGCTTGTCAGGGGCTTGTCCTTGCACGGGCCCAGGAGACTGCAGACCAGCCATGGGCGTGAGCCACAGCTGGCCTCTAGCACTCAGTTCCATATTCTCCTCCCACATGAGCAAAGTGTAGAGAGGCTAGAACTCTAGACCAGGCAGGACGCTTCGGAGTGGCTGACTCCTTCCCGCCCCCATCCTCGAGTTCCCGGCCTTTGAAGGCCCAAATTGGTACCCGTGCCACAGTCATACTGAAACTGATACAAGAGTTACCGCCCCAGTCTCCACCCTGGTGCTGTGTGGAAGTCACGTACTCTCTGTGGACAGCACTAGGGTTACTGCTGATGAGGGAGCCTGGAGTTTTAAAGTGTCTGCCCACCAGTTTCCCTAAAGCAAAAATTGGTGCAGTGTGTCGTCTACTACTGTGGTGGGCGTCTTAGTGTGTTTTGGCTGCTGTAACAAAATGCAACAAACCGGGTGACTTGGAAGCAATAGAAATGTGTTTCTCACACTCTGGGGGCTGGAGAGCAGGTGTCAGTACCTGCCTCTGGCCCTCTTCTGGTTGCGGACGTCTGTCTAGTTCTGTCCCCTGCATGGCTGGAGGAGTAAGAGGGATCTGCGGGAGCCTCTCTCAGGAGGAGACCAATCCCATTCATGAGGGCTCCACCCTCAAGACCTAGTCATCTCCCAAAGGCCCCACCTCCGAAGCCAACGTGAATGTCAGAAGGACACACACATTGCGTACCGCAACAGCAAGAAGACCAGACCAGACCAAGCTGGTGGCCGCCAGCTTGACCACAGCCCGAGACCCCCTTCCCCTCTCAGCACAGAAGACCCCTGCTGAGAGCCTGTGCTCCCCCTTGGCCTACAGACCAAAGGCTGAGCTCCGTGGTCTGGCCGCCACTTCTCCCACCGCATAGCCCCATCTGCACATCTCTGGAGACCCTCGGAGCTGCACCCCATTCCTCAAGGTGCCCTGCACTCCATGACACTGCGCGTGCCCCTCTCTTCTCTGAGGACCGCCTCTGCCAGAATACCCCCACTGTTCCTTCCGGGCTGGCCTCCGCAGCCTGCCCACCCACACCAGGCCAGGCCTGGTCTCTTCCTCTTCTGAGCCTGAGTTACCTCTTGCTCACTAGTGCTTGCATGTTTTGCAAAGTTGTCCATTTGATGGTATGTTTCCCAGACCAGGCCCCTCCATCTTCTTTCCAGGGGGAAACCACCACTTCAAAACCCAGCATTGTAGAGGGCACGTCCCAGGTTCCTTCAGGTCCAGGTCTCTGACTTCCTCTTAGGACAGATTCAAAAGGAAGTGAATCAGCTGTTGTTTGGTAAAAGGGTGGGGCTTGGGGGTCATTATTGCTGAGGCCATTGGTGACTTTCACTTTTGGGTGCCTTATATGGAGAGGTCAGTGGGGTGCCTCATACTGAGAGAGGAGAGCTCAGGCTCGAGAAGGCTGACCCACTGCTGCTGGTCCAGGTAAGATCCTCCAGGGCTGGTTGGTTCCTACCTCCTCAGCCTACCTGTCACCCTCACTCTGATGGAGGCCCTGCTGCAGGAGTGGAGGCTGGAAAGGCTGCACCTTTGGTCCTCAGTGGAGGCTCCCCGCCCAGCCAGCAACCCTGAGATTCCTTTGCAGGGGAAGGCCTGTTCCGTCTAGCTGACTCAGCCTGCGGAAGCCAAGAGTCTCACGGTTTTTCAGGTGTGTGTAGACCCTGGACTGAGGTCTGGGGACCTAGTGATCAGGGAGACATGTGCCCCCCCCACAGGGACACTCCACTGGAGGAGACAGACGTGGGTGCAGTGCCGAGGGTATGAGTGCCAGGGCTTCTTGGGGGAAGTTTCACAGTCCCCAGCGTGGAGAAGGGCCAAATGAGCATCAAAGACAAGAGGGAGTGAAGGAGGGTCAGGGAGTGAATGGCTGCACCTGCTGGGCCTTGCGGGGGGGGCAGCTCAGCTGGTGTGCGTCCTCGGCTGTTTCCAGAGGCGATCACCCAGGTGCCCCATTGTATCTGGGGCAGACGCGCCATGTATGTGGAGCTGACGTTCCCATTTGACAGGGTTAGAAACCGGGTGCAGGAACCGATCGATGTCTGTGACTCGGGAGAGAGTTGTTAGGAACCATTTCTTGGTTTCTGAGTAGGACCTTCTCGCCCACCCCCAGTTTTATAGAGTTGCATTAGCACCTGCCTGTGCCAGACCATGTGCTGGGTGTTGAAGAGGCAGAAGTGACTTAGATATGGCGGCTCCAGACTCGGGGACCACCGTGAACGAAGGCTGGACAGCAGGAGACCGGGAGGCGGGGGCGGTGAGGGGGCAGAAGCTTGGGTCAATGCGTAGCCTGAGCCGGAAGGGCAGCAGTGAGGGAGCTGGTGAGAGGACAGTGTGAGGCGCCTGCGATGCCACAGTGCACAGTCTGGGGCTTCTCTCTGCCGACGTCCTTTCTCGGAGACGAGGTCTGGGGAGCGACATGAGATCTGTTTTAGCACAGTCACTCTGGTGGCATGTGGGCAGTGGGCGGGGTGGGCAGATGGGGGACGGGATGCATCGTGAGCAATGTGAAAGGGAAACAAACAGGGCTGGTCGGGTTCCAGGAGCCTCCCCGGTGTCCTGCTTGGGAATCTGACAGATTGACAGCACGTGGGACGTGGCTCGGGCAGGCGTGGTTTGGAGTCCTCACGCGGGCGATTGCAGTCAAATCTTGGGGACGAGTGAGAGGACGAGGGACTGTGGGAAGGAGAGCCACCCGAAACCAGGGAGCCACTTTGTTTAGGGAAAGGGAGGAGTTAGGAAGACGACGAGAGACTCTGGATGGAGGCTCAGGAGAAGCTGGCTGTGGAGGCCAAGCGACCGGAGGCTTTTGTAGTAAAGGGAATGCTGTGCATTCTCTGTGCACGCCAAAGAGAGGGCTGAGCAGCAGCCAAGAGGAAGAGGCTGGGACTGGTCCCGTGGGAGACTGTGGGTGACCGTAGCAGATGATGGGAGTAGGAGGTGGAAGGGTCTTTCCGGCAGCTTGCTCTTCCAGGAGGAGGGGTGCAGCGATTCCGTGGACACGGGCCCACTGCCCACCCTGGGCGCCCCACTGCATTCCTCGCTTTCCTCAGCCTCGAAGGGCACCAGGGTCATGGAGGCTCCCTGGGGACCCTGCTGGAACGGCGACACCACCTCTAGCTGGAGTGAACGTGGCACCTGACGTCTCTGCCATGTGCGAAGGACTTTCAGAACCATGGCCTCCTTTAATCGTCATGAGAACTGTGTCTTCTTTCCCTGTTCCAGAAGAGGAAACACGTTCTTAGAGTTCCCACTCAGATTCAGCTAAATAATCCAAAGACACTGAGCAAGCTTCTTCCACTCTTAGCTCATTTGCCAGCACAGCCCTTTGGCTTCTCTTGGTCCCACTGGGCGGATGAAGCAAACCAGGCCCTGAGGCTGAGCAACTGGGGACAGCGGCTGGGTGCAGCGCCCTTCCTGCACCCCCTGCCGCCCCTCCCCAAACCCTCCCAGGAGCTGAGGCTTAAATTCAAGTTCCCAAGGCATTTGCCCGGGTGTGAGTCCATGTACCGTAGTTTTCAGACCATCTAAGATGCACCTAGGTTTTAGAGGAGAAAAGAGGGAAAAATTTTTGAAGCAAAAAATGTGATAAAATATTTAATAACATAAATGACATAACATTTCACCAATGTCAATGTAAACAGAATTCAACAGCAGCATTAACAACCATCATTCCTCCCAAATTGGGGGGGAGGGCGCGTCTTATAGTCCAAAAAACACAGTGATTCTCCCAACCACCTTGCGCAGGTAGATATTTCCTCCTGTGTTACAGATGAAGAAACTGAAATTCCAAGAAGTCATAAATGACTTGCCCATGTTTGTGCCACTCGTGGGAGTCCCCACCCGCACCCCATCTTCATCTCTTCAGGGAGAAGTCCATGCCCCTCAGCTTGGCGTAAGGACCATCCGCGGTCCAGCCTTCCCAGTGTCTCCAGTACATCACCCCCTTCCTCCCCAAAGCTCCGGCGGCATGGCATGCCCATCTCGATGGGGCCTGTGTGCACCTCCTGGGACCGCTGGGGGGCTGTGAGGCCCCGAAGGCGGGGCTCTGGCCCGCTCTGTCGATGCCCCCATGCCCCTCGGAGCAGTAAACTGAAAGCCAGGATGGATGAACAGTGCTGGGAATGGAAAACAGCCTTCCCGCGCTCTCTCATCAATGCTCCCGGAAACCGAAAGCCCCTCCTTGGTTACTAAGGGATCTCTGATGGTCAGAGGCTCTGAGCTCTGCCTGTGACTTCCTTCCCGTCCCCAAGGCTCTGAGTCACAGCTTCCTAGGGCCTGTTGAGTAAGCGGTTCACCCAGGCGGTCCTTTCCTCCTACAGGCAGCCACCCCCACTGTGGAACCACATGGACTCCATGGGCCCTGCAGAGCTGCAGCCAGGGGAAGGAGCCCCTGGCTGCCCCCAGGAGGGCTTGCCCCGCCCCCCGGACAGCTCTGAGTTGGTAAGTTCAGCACTCGATTCCCATCCTATGCCCATTCAGGGCTGCCAGGAGCAGGAGCAGCTGAAGATGGTGTGGGGCTATGGGGTCCCACTGAGGTAGCCCCTTCCAGTTTTCTGAGGCTTTCCCATCTGATCCAGTAACAGTCTCCTACACAACTGCAAGGCGGGGATGAGCCCCTCACTTTGCAGCCCAGGAGGAGGGGCTCAGGGGGCAGACAGGGGTCTGACCAGAGCCAGGGTATCTCAGCCCCAAATTCATTTGCTTCGGCCACCTTGCCACCCACGTGCTTCTGCCCCAGGTGGGTTAACACAGTCTCGAAAGGACCTTCTGTGGTTTTCTGGTGGAGAAATGTGTTCTCAATGCCCTTGCTGTCCCCACGTCCCTAGTCACTTCTTCAGGTCTCTCTCCATACACTGTGCAACCAGGCAGAGCCAGGTCACAGCCCAGCTCACTCCGCCTGCCCCCAGCTAGCTCAGCCCGGAGTCCCCTCCTTCTGTGGTCTTGACCAAGATTCAAAGCCCTTGCACGACACACCCTTGAGCAGGAAACACTTGTGTAAGTCACTGTGTCCTCCCGGCCCCTGGAGAGTGAGTGACAGGAGAGAATATGGACCTGCACAGAGGGGACCCCAGGACAGGGCTCTCTAGTCCTTCCCTGCAGCCGAGGCAGCTTCCCGGCCTGTTCTGACCTCTGCTGGACTTGGCTCCTTGTCCCCACTGTGGGGACATCACCCCTCACTGTATTGCATGTTCCCACTTTACCTTGTCCAACCTCCGCCCCAGACCCCACTGCCGTCAACATTCTCTCTGCACCCCACCCGCAGCCTGGCCAGCTGTGGGGCTTGGCCCCGGCCACCCTCTCCCACCACTTCCTGCCCCTGCCTCCTGAGGCTCCCGTGCTCGCCCCGCACTTGCCCTGCCAGCCTCACCACACACGCCTGCCCTTGAAAGACAGACGCTCCACCACAGGCTCCCCTCGCTCCCCTCCCAAAGTCTCCCAGGGAAGTTGGTTAGTAACTGTGTGTGGCCTGAGCGCAGCCCCTTCCCAGAGCCCCTTTCCCACCCCGTCCCCAGGAGTCTTTTAGTCGCCAGAGGGGCAGTAACACCTCAGGCTATCCAGTGGGTCGCTCTGAGGAGAGGAAACCTCTGTATCAGTGAGTGTGTCCCCCTGGCTGCCGCAGCCCTTCTCGGTCCTCCAGAAAATGTGGTGCTGCGTTTGGTCCTGCTGCACAGAGCAGGGAGGCTGCTCAGAGGGCTGAGCCGCCAGCCACCCGGCCGACCGCGTGCAAGCTAGTCCTGGTGCCTGTGGGATTTGGTCTCTCTCTAATGCACTTCTCGCTCTCCTGGCTGAGGCCTCTCCCTGCTCTCCCCCCCACCCCCAGGAAGTGGGGGGGTGGGGCAGTCCCTAGCTCCTCCTGGCTGCTGTGCAGCCACCACTGTCACTGAGCAATAAAAACACACCCCTCACACCTGAACAGCACTTTACATGTTCATGTACAGGGTCCCCGTGAATTCTTATGTCCCCACAGCCACTCAATCAACACAGCCTTCCTCGATGCTGCCAGCTTTGGGTGCCAGCCCGTGTGGCCCTGACTTGCAGCTGTACGACATGGCCCCTGGCCTTGGGGACCCTCTCAGACACAGCTGTGACTTGCCCGGGGCCACACAGCCAGGAAGTGGCAGGACAAGGACTTGGATGTAACTCGTCTCGTCCCAGGTCCTATGGGGTTCCTCTACTGCCTCTCCATCAGCTGTGGGTTCTTTTCAGAAGTTGCTGGGTTTTATAACAATTAGAAGCACCTCTGTAGTCAGACAGAGCAAGGGTGAAATCCCACCCTGTGCTCTCAGAGCTGCTCGGCTTCGGCAAGTGCCGGTCCATGCCCGAGCCTCTGTTTCCTCACTCACAGCGGGAAGAAGCCCTCCAGGCACTGTGGCTGCCCCGAGCATCTGCGTAACGGAAATGGGAACAGAGAACCAATCTCTGGCCTCCTGTAGGGGTCACTTGCTGCCTTAGGGTCTATTTCCCATCGCATCCTGAAGCCAGGGTGGGGCAGAGGCATCCCGTCTCCCTCAGTGGGCAGCTTCCCTTCCCAGTCTCTCTCGGCTTCCCCATTAGGGTGCCCAACTGGCTGCTGTACAAATACAGGTCCGGAGGGGGCAGCAGAGGGTGGGGGCCCGGGGAAGGCCAGGCCCGGAGAGTGGAGTCTTGGGCTGGGCCCCTCCCATGAACCCAGGCAGGCTGCTGGGCCTCTTCAAAGGACAAAGGACGGGCCAAATGGTTGTCTGGGGAGCTCTCCTTACAGAGGAGGGTAGCAGGGCTCCTGATGGAGAAGGACCCAGGGTGTCCCGTCCCCTGCCTGCTCTCCCCTCCCCCACTCTGATCCACTCCCCACCGAATCCTCCTCACCCCCCACCCCCGAATCCCATGCCTTTATACTCTTTCCCCACTTGTTCAAACAGCTCCTTCCTTCCCTGGCTGGTGTCCAAAAACGCTTTTACTTCCTGCTCACTCTCGGACTTCCATTTCTGTGTTTTAAAAAAAGAATAGCCACCATCACTACCAGACCGTGCTGTCTTGTCTATTTGCTTGTTCTCTGCCACTACAGCGGAGTGTGAGCGCCACAGGGCAGGCCTCAGCTGGTGGTGCAGGGCTGGATGCTGGGAGCAGTCCTGGGCGCACAGGGGGCCTCGCCCCACGCCGGTGGGAGGACCAGCCGCTTTGGGGAGGGCTGACCCTATAGCGTGGCCTCCAGACTCCCCTCATCACTTCCCCTGCAGACTCCCTGTCCTGCTTTCCTGAGTTCTACCCTCTTGCCTCAGTTTCCCTCCTGTCACATGTGGATGTTTAGCTTGGCAGGTTTTGAGGCCTCGCGTGACCTTTTGCTACTGGTCCTGCTCCTGTACATGGGGAGCTCTTCCCACGTATGACATAGCCTCAGCCCACCAGGGCTCTGGGCAGGGACAGCCTGGAGGTGGGGGAGAGTCACAGGCCCTAGGACCCCCACCAGGTGCCAGGGCACCCTGGGTGGCCACATGGGGTCCCCAGATGGACTGATCTCCAGGGAGGCCCAGCCCCTCCCAGCCTCCATGCTGGTCTGTCAGGGAGAGCAGAGTAATGAAGAGTGATGCTGCGTTAAAGCAAAAGCAAAAACAGCGAGCACCGGGCCTGCTCAGGCTGCAGAGTCGAGTGGACCTGGGGAGGAAAGCACCTGAACTTGAAGTGTGCTCACATGTGTGTTCATTCGCCTCCTCAGTGTGTTCAGTGACAACTCACTGAACAGCTTGGCTGTGGGTCCTGGGCGCCCACAGCCAATCAGTTGTGTGATGGGAGAAGGTTCTTGCCAACCTTGGATTCAGTGACATAGAAGGGGCTGGGGGTGTCGTGGGCTGAGAAGCCACAAGGGAATAGAACAGGAGGAAGTAGGCGAATCTTTCCCCCCAAAAGGAGCCTTCTGAGGGTGTTGGAGCTGGGTGCAGACTGTAGGCAGCCAGAGAGCCAGGGGGTGAAGAGGTGAGGGGCAGACTGGGTGGTGTGGGGAGACCAGCAAGGCTCAGAGCGGGCTCAGGCCAGCCCTGGGGAAGCTGAGGGGGGCAGCGAGCTGGGCAGGGCTGGCTTGTCCTGGTCGGGGTTGGGGGACTTGGCTAGGCCGTCAGGGCCCTTGCCCAGGTGCCGGTCTGCCTCTCCCCAGGTGCAGGACTGCCTGAACCAGTTCAAGCTGACAGAGCCCCAGCTGCGGCAGATCCAGGCCAGGATCCTGGGTTCCATGGAGCTGGCCCTGAGGGGCGAGGCCAGCCCCGTACCCGCCGTCCGGATGCTGCCCACCTATGTAGGGTCCATCCCACACGGCACTGGTGGGTGACACCAGGTCCAGCGGGCAGCCAGGCCCGGGGAGAGGGCTGTAACTTGGGGAAGGGGACGTTTCGCATCTGAGGGTTCTGAGGTTCCCCTCTCTGAGGTCCTTTGACAAGACTCAGGCCTCAGGCATGTTTCTTGGTCTTCCCAGCTGCATGCCTCTCTGTGATCTGCTTATCCTTAGAGCAAGGGGACTTCTTGGTGCTGGAGCTGGGGGCCACCGGGGCCTCCCTGCGTGTTCTGTGGGTGACCCTGACCGGCTCTGAGGGGCATCAGATGGAGCCCCGCAGCCGCGAGTTTTTGATCCCCCAAGAGCTGATGCTGGGTCCTGGCCAGCAGGTAAGGGCTCTCTGCCAGAGCTCAGGGACCTGCAGGGTGGCGGGGGCTGGGGGGGGGCCGAAGCTGAGCTGCCCGCCACCCCCCCGCCCCGCCATGTGTCCCACAGCTCTTTGACTTTGCTGCGCGATGTCTGTCTGAGTTCCTGGACGCCTTCCCAGTGGGCAACCGGAGGCTGCAGCTAGGGTTCAACTTCTCCTTCCCCTGCCACCAGACGGGCCTGGACAGGGTATGGCAGAGTGCACGTGGGGACAGGGGCGGGGCTGTAGCCCTGTGACTGACGCATTGCAGGAGTGACCCCGTGTTTCTGCCCCCAGAGCACCCTCATTTCCTGGACCAAAGGTTTCAGGTGTAGTGGTGTGGAAGGCCAGGATGTGGTCCAGCTGCTCCGAGAGGCCATCCAGAGGCAGGGGGTGAGTGGGGGCGGAGCTGCCTGAGGGCCCGCCTCCTGCTTCTGGGAGGCCTGCTTGCCTTTCCTGCTTGTGTGCCTGGTCCAGTGTGACTCCTGACTCTGGTGGGCTGGGGGGGTGCGGGGGTGGTGTCAGTGCTGCCACCATCCTCGATTTCCAGATGAAGAGGAAGAAGAGGCCAAGAGAAGCCACCTCAGTGCTTAGACTGTGGTGGGGGGGGGGGGGGGTTGGGGACGAACGATGAGAAGGCTTGTCCCTGTCATCAAGGCCCTCACCGTCTAGAGGGGAAAGCATTCCACTGAAAGACTGTCCCTGCTGCAGTGGCAGTTCTGCGGACCCTGGGGACACAGGGGAGGGCCCACTGGGACTCGAGCAGGGACTTGAAGGAGTTTGCCAGGTGCCTGAGCAGGGGCTGGGGGCTGGGGAGGATCCGGGTTCAGAGAAGGGCACAGGCAGAAGTCTGGGTGCCTGGAGAGGCCAGTGTGCCAGGACCAGCAGCCACCCGGCCGCCCGGCCATGCTGTGTGCGCTGCTGGGAGCCGGGGCGAGGGGAGGGGCTTGGAAGCCAGGCCTCGAGGGGGGTGAGCCAGCGAGGGGCCTCCAGCACAGTCTTCAAGGTGCCATGCTGGCCCCCCTGGCCCTGGTCCTGGGGACACCGGTGCAGTGGGGAGGACGGCCAAGGTTGGGGGCCACTGACGACCCAGGGCCTGAACTGGGGGGTGAAGGAGCCAAGGGGCGTGGGGTGGTGGGAAAGCCTTTCTGGGGGGGATGGAGGACCTGGGGGGTCTGGGCATGTAGACACACGTGTTTCACGGACTCAAGGAATCTCCAATGGAGACAGGGCCCAGGCCGGGCCCAGCTCCAGGCCTCCCTGCTCTGCCCTCTCACACACAGACCTATAGCGTCGACGTGGTTGCCGTGGTGAACGACACGGTGGGCACCATGATGGGCTGCGGGCCAGGGAGCGTGCCTTGTGAGGTCGGGCTCGTCGTGGGTGAGCTGTGGGCTGCCTGTGGTGGTGGGCGGGACCCAGGGGCCCAGTGGGCAGGCCTGACGGGTTGTCCTTGCCAGACACCGGCACCAACGCCTGTTACATGGAGGAGGCGCGGCATATGGCGGTGCTGGACGAGGACCGGGGCCGCGTCTGTGTCAGCGTCGAGTGGGGCTCCTTTGGCGATGATGGGGCCCTCGGGCCAGTGCTGACCACATTCGACCGCATCCTGGACCAGGAGTCCCTGAACCCCGGTGCTCAGAGGTGGCCTGGCCTTTTGCTCTCAGCCCTGTCCCTGCTCTGCGCCCCATCCACCACTGTCCCTGTGCTTCATTCCTTGGGGCCCAGCCTCTTGTTCCCTGGGGGCCCTGGCTGAGCTCAAAGAAGGAAGGGCTCAAGGTTCTAGAACTTAGAGTTTTTAACCCTTGGCCTGCCTCTATTCCTACCTCTGGCTAGTCCTGGTGGGAGCTGGGTCTGACTGGGTTGCCAAGCAAACTGCTCCCACCCTCCTTTGGCACCTGTCACCCTCCAGAAGCCCCCTAACCCTAACCTAAGCTGGAGGGGGCAGTGGGTCTGGATAAACACCTACCTGCCTCCTGGGAGGAGGCCATTAGCTTCTGAAACCTCCTCCAGGGCTCCTGCAGCTGGGCCTTGGCTGAGGGCATAGGAAAACCTCTGTCCAGCCACCCTTCCCGCCTGCAGGTTTGAGAAGATGATTGGCGGCCTGTACCTGGGCGAGCTGGTGCGGCAGGTGCTGGCTCACCTGGTCCGGCACGGGGTCCTTTTTGGCGGCTGTGCCTCCCCGGCCCTGCTGAGCCAAGGAGGCATCCTCCTGGAGCAGGTGGCCGAGATGGAGGAGTGAGTGTGGGAAGCCAGCGGGTTAGACAGCCAGGTTCTCTGTTTTGGGGGAGGGAGGAGACTCTGTGCCCCACGTAGCCTCGGGGGTTTGGGGGAAGGGGGACAGGGAGCATCTGGGAAACCTGAGCCTCAAATCAGCACCCTGTCCCCCCAGCCCCTCGGCCGGGACAGCCCGGGTGCAAGCCGTCCTGCAGGGCTTGGGCCTGAATCCAGGGGCCACGGACACTGAGCTGGTGCAGCGCGTGTGTGCGGCGGTGTGCACTCGAGCCGCCCACCTGTGCGCTGCCGCCCTGGCTGCCGTCCTCACACGCCTCCAGCACGGCCGGGAGCAGCAGGCGCTGCAGATCGCGGTGGCTACTGGAGGCCGAGTGTTTGAGCGACACCCCAGGTATGGGGAAAACACGCAAGCCTGAGTGAGCAGGGAGCAGGAGCACACGTGTGTGAGACACACACCCAGAGGGCACTCTGGTACCAGGGCTGCAGGGCAGTGGGTGAGGATGACGCCCAAGCAGAGTGGGGCCAGATCGGGGCTGAGGGCCGTAAGAGGCTAAAGGATGGAAAATCTGTTTCTCCTTGGGTGTGCAAGGGGTCCCTGGGGGCTGGGTGTGCAGTGAGTGCACAGGCATGTTGAAAATCAAACTGGTTTGGAATGGTGGGGCCCAGGCTCCACTGAGCCCCAGGGGTCAGGGCTCGGTACCAAGACAGGGTGGCCTGCCATGTGTCTGTGTAGGTTCCTCAGCGTCCTGCGGGAGACTGTGAAGCTCCTGGCCCCCGAATGTGACGTCTCCTTCACCCCCTCTGTGGATGGGGGTGGCCGGGGCGTGGCAATGGTGACCGCTGTGGCTGCCCGAGTGGCGGCCCACCAACGCATGCTGGAGGAGACCCTGGCCCCGTTCCGGCTGAACCACGAGCAGCTGGCACAGGTGCAGGCGCAGATGCGGGAGGCCATGGCCCAGGGGCTCCGAGGGGAGGCCTCCTCCCTCCGGATGCTGCCCACTTACGTCCGGGCCACTCCTGATGGCAGCGGTGAGGACCAGCCTGAGTGCGGGGCTGGGAGGTGGGCTCCTGGGGGTCGCAGTGTGTGCTGGAGGGAGACGCCCACCCCATCCTGGCCTTGAGCATCTCTGCCCCACAGAGCGGGGGGACTTCCTGGCACTGGACCTCGGGGGCACCAACTTCCGAGTCCTCCTGGTTCGCGTGGCCGCGAGTGGTGTGCAAATCACCAGCGAGATCTACTCCATCCCTGAGCACGTGGCTCAGGGCCCTGGAGAGCAGGTGCCCGCCGCCAGAGGCTGAGTGCAGGGAGGTGGGCAAGGGCCTGGGCTCCCCTCATGCTGATTTGCCCCTTCTGCCCCACTCAGCTCTTTGACCACATCGTGGACTGCATCCTGAACTTCCAGCAGAAGCAGGGCCTCAGCGGGCAGACCCTCCCCCTGGGTTTCACCTTCTCCTTCCCCTGCAGGCAGGTCGGCCTGGACCAGGTGAGAGAGAACAGCAGGGCCGGGAGAAGCCACATGCCCTGGAGGGAGCGGGCAGGACGAAACGGGGAGGGGCGGGCAGAGGCACCACTGGACGGAGCCTACAGCCAGCCTCAGTTTCCCTAGACGTGATGCGCCTAGGTAGATGGGTGTGGTGAAGGGCCTGGAACCCAGGCTCATAAAGAGGCCTGGGGCGGAGAGGGCCCTGGGTCAGATCTGGGCCCCCGGGAGCAAGGTGGGCCTGATCCCAGCTGACCGTGGCACTGGCGTGCTGGCAGAGGGACCTGCAGGGACAGTCTTTGCCCCTGTCCCTGCAGGGGCTGTGCTCACATGGACTCTCTGCCCTCTCTCCCCTGCCCGGCCTGCCAGTGCCTGCTGGGGGTGGGTGCCTGGCTGCGGGGTGGCAGAGCAGCGGGCACTCGGCACACACCCCTGCAGCCCTCCCATAAGAAGGCTGGACTCTCCGTGCACACACCTTCGGCTCTGAGCAGCCCCGGTGGCTGTCGCCATCTGCTTGCCCCTGCTCCGACCTGCCTGGCACTGGCCTCTGCACTCTGCTCCCTCTCCTCACTTGCGCCTGCACCCTTGGCCACGGCGTCTCTCTGCTGGTCCTTGCTCCAGGCTAAGCAGCTGGAGTCTTTGATCAGGTCTTGTAAGGTGTGAGAGGCAGGTAGACTCAAGATGCAAAGTCAGGCATGCTAGAAATGGGGTCCTATTGATCTTCTATCACTGAGCTGCAGTTCTGTGTTGAGCCCACAGTCTTGGAGGGGCTCTTCCCTAGGCAGGGCCCCCTCAGCTGCACAGCGATTGGCCTCTGCTGTAAAGAAAGTGCAGGCACAAGGGCGAAGCGTTTGGGGAGACACCCAGGCTCCCTCTCTTGGGTCCTGAGGCCCCCCTGGGGAAGGAGGGCGGGGCCTCTTCTGTTCTCAGACTGTCCAGATCTCTGATCTCCCTCCCTGCCCCCAAGGGCGGGCCCAGGGTGAAGGGTGTAGAGCACTTTCTCAGGAAGCCATCAGAGGCCTGGCTCTGACTGCTCAGCACCCTGCCCCAGGCAGGGGTCCCTCATCTGGTCTGGGAGCAGGGAAGCTCGCTGAACCCTCACGATCTGGCCCCCACAGCCAGCCTCCTCTCATTCATTCTCTATGCTTGCCGGCTTCTATGTGGGGGGCTGTGAACATAGAACACCCTAGAGGTGGTCACATGGGAAAGGGGGTGTTGGTTAGTGTCTCCACAGCATCCTGCTGCCCCTGGGACATCCATCCTTTCCCCTGCTCGCCCTCAGGGGAAGCACATGGAGAAAAGCACAGTCAAGGCCCGTCCACAATTTAAGGCCAATTTCTCACGATAAAGTTGCATCTGTCTGGTCCCCCGCGCCTCCCGCCAGGTGCCTGGGCTCCGGCTTTTCTGTGGGTCCCTCCCGTCTGGAACACACACAAGTGAATTTCTCATTGACCCGGCTCCATCCCAGCTCTGAGAAGTCCTCCTGTCAGGCGACCCTGGCCAGTTCTTTCCAAAAGAGCAGAATCTGCTGTCCTGGGCACCTGAGCTTCTCTGCGCCCCGCCCCCCCTCCCCATACACACACACACACACACACACACACACACACACACACACAGTGCTCCAGTGACCAGCTCTGTCCCTCCCTAACCCAAGCACAAAGGGCCATTCCTTCTGGGAGAAGTCTTAAGGCAGCCCCGCCCTGAGCGTTCTGAACTAACACAGAAGACACAGTGCGGGAGGCTGTCCGCAGGTCTCTTCACACTGGAAGGCATCGGAGGAGTGGCAGGGGCGCCTGTGTGGGCGAGTGGGCCTGGGACCCTGCCTGGGGACAGCGGACATTGTGTGCTGGAGGATGTGGGGGCTCTGGGAGGCCAAGTGAGAGTCCAGGGGGCATCCAGCTCCCCATCCCATCTTGGTACCATGCCAGGGCATCCTCCTGAACTGGACGAAGGGCTTCAACGCCTCAGACTGCGAGGGCCAGGACGTCGTGGGGCTGCTGCGGCAGGCCATTGTGCGCAGACAGGTAAGGCGTCTGCCTCCCGGGTGCTTTGGGAGTGGCATGCCTGGCGGGGAGCAAGGGGTCTCTTGGTTCTTGAGATGGGGACCCTCTGAAGTAGAGACCTCTGAGTCCAGTGCTGGTTGCCGTGACGACCATGTTGCCCAGCAACTAGCAGCATCCTTTTGTGCGCAGGCAGTGAAGCTGAATGTCGTTGCCATTGTCAATGACACGGTGGGGACCATGATGTCCTGTGGCTATGAAGACCCCCATTGTGAGGTCGGCCTAATTGTTGGTGAGGAGGATGCTGCTCTTTTGTGCCCCTTTTGCCTGATACTAATTCATTGCCCCCTGTTGCCTCCTCGGTTTGGACAGTTCCCCTGGCCTTGGGGATGCAGGATCCTTCCCGTCCCACCCAGCAGGGCCCTGGAACACCCCACTGGGTCAGAAGTCTGGAGTGGGGGTATCCAGCCCCCCTCAACTGCCGACTCAGTGATGCTCTCTGAGCCTCAGTTTACCCTTCTGTTTAATGCATCAGCTTCAAGTGGAAATACCGGCTCTGCCACTTCTACCTGCATGGCCTCGGGCAGGGCCCCAGAGCCTCAGTTTCCTCATCTCTAAAATGGAGATAATAATGACGCCTATCTTGAGGCAAAGCATGGTGCAGGGCCTGCCTCACAGCGGTGTGGTCCCAGTGCCTGAGGTGGTGGGGCCAGGGTAGACAGGGGATGGGCTGGGAGGGTCCTTCAGGCCATCGTCCCAGATTCAAAGCCTTTATTAAGCACCTATCCTGTGGCTGGCTGGGGGCTGGATGAAGGGACAGGAAGATGCATAAAGAAGGTGGGAGACACCTGCCTTCTCAAAACTGACCATTTAGCAGGCATTGAGCCCAGAACAGCACGTGGCGGTCAGAGAGAGCTGACCCTGCCTCTCTGTGGCAGGGCGACAAGCCTGGGCTCCCACGGGAAGGGGCTGCATGATCAGGGAGACCTGCAAAGCAAGCCGGGGAAGAAGGACTATGGCTTGGTGGGGAAGGAGGGTGTCTGCGGGCCCTTTGGCATTAGTCTCAGCGACTGAGGTGTATGACGGCCTCTCACGGGACCGGGAGCTTCTAGAACAGGCACACCCAGGTTGCCGTGGGAATAAACCCCTGGATGGAGGAGTTCCAGGTGGGGCCCCCAGGGAGCCTGCCTGCCTAGAGCCGACTGCGTTGGGGACAGGGAGGGGCTGTCTTTGGCCTCTGCCCGCAATGCTGTTCCTTTCCGTGCCTCTCAGCTTCACGGTCAAATCCCAATGTCACCTCCTCTCTGTAGCTTTTACTGACCCTCTAGGCAGGAAGATTCACCATGCCCAGGGCTCCCACGGTGCTCTTCTTTGCACCTCTGTTGGGGCACACACAGCACATGCAAGCTGGCTGCTCTTTGCCCCGCCTCTGGCCTCCATGGGGCCCCGCTGGTTAGACGCCAACCTGCCTGTGTCCTTGGCGCTCGGCGCAGCTCCAGCTGCTTGGCCTAAAGACCTGAAGGCCAGTACGGTCTGTTCAGGCCTCTCACCTGAAGACAGCAAGGGGCTGTTACACTTCTCCCAGGAGACTGACACGACTGGTGATATTTTTAGGACCCCCAGGGCAGCTCGGGAGGGACACTGAGAGTGGCGTTGGCAGGGCAGTGGCAGAGGCCTGGAGGGTTTGGTGCTGGCAGGGTCTTCGGAAGGAAGGTCAGGAAGGACGACCAGGACCCAGGGCAGGGCATGAGTGTGGGAAGATACAGAGGTGAAAATATGAGCCTCAGGGTGCAGAGGGCTCAGAGGGGTCTCGTGTGCGTTAGTCAGCGGCTCCCACACCGTCCGGCCTTCCTACAGGGACCGGCACCAACGCCTGCTACATGGAGGAGCTCCAGAACGTGGCGGGTGTCGCCGGGGACTCGGGCCTCATGTGCATCAACATGGAGTGGGGCGCCTTTGGGGATGATGGCTCTCTGGGCACACTCGCGACCTGCTTCGACGATCTCGTGGATCAGGCATCCATCAACCCTGGCAAACAGAGGTGGGGGCCAGGCTGGGCGGGGGTGGCTGGCGGTCGGTGGGATCTCCCGCCCCATGGGCACACACACTTTCATGCAGGTTTGAGAAGATGATCAGCGGCATGTACCTGGGGGAGATTGTCCGCCACATCCTCTTGCATTTGACGAGCCTTGGAGTTCTCTTCCGGGGCCAGAAGACCCAGCGCCTTCAGACCAGGGACATTTTCAAGACCAAGTTTCTCTCTGAGATTGAAAGGTGCTGACACCTGCACTCCCCCCCCCCCACCCCGGCTCCCAAAGAGTCTGGCTGTTCTCCTTGGGTGGAAGGCTGCGTGGAGGGAGCTCCACCTGGGAACGCAGAGGTCACGCGAGAGGGGGCAGCCAATACCAGACCCTGCCTGTCTGAGCTCTCTTCCTTCCTGTCCCCAGTGACAGCCTGGCCCTGAGGCAGGTCCGGGCCATCCTGGAGGACCTGGGGCTGCCCCTGACCTCAGACGACGCCCTGATGGTCCTAGAGGTGTGCCAGGCTGTGTCCCAGCGGGCCGCCCAGCTCTGTGGGGCAGGTGTGGCTGCCGTGGTGGAGAAGATCCGTGAGAACCGGGGCCTGGAGGCGCTCACTGTGTCCGTGGGGGTAGACGGGACCCTCTACAAGCTGCACCCCCAGTGAGTCTGGGCCCCCCACCCAGTTGGGAGGCCAGGCAGGGCCTGGCTGCCCAGGCTCACCTGCGCCCTTCCCCCGCAGCTTCTCTGGCCTGGTGGAGGCCACTGTGCGGGAGCTGGCCCCTCGCTGCGCGGTCACCTTCCTGCAGTCGGAGGATGGGTCGGGCAAAGGGGCAGCCCTGGTCACCGCCGTCGCCTGCCGCCTGGCCCAGCAGGCCCTTGTCTGAAGGAGTCTCCGGGATCGATCTGCGCTGGACCGGGGCCCGGGCCCCAAGCATTCCCGGCCAGGCCCAGCCCCACCAGGGACTCCCAGCACAGCCCCCACATGACCCCGCTGTGGCCACTGGCCTCAGCCTCTGGCTTCCTGTAGAGAAGCGGCACTTGGGTTAGCAATATATATATATAATTTATTTACATTCACTTCCGCTAAAATCCCTACGCGCCCCGGCGGCCGGGCAAGGCTGTGTACATAAGGCCAAGTGTAAGTGCACAAACGCACTTAAGACAGAGTCAGGGCACGAGCTTCACACCACAGGCCCAGGAGCGGGCACACCACAGCACGCACACTCGCCGTCGGCCAGCCCGGGACTCCCGTTGCATATTCACACGCCCCACTGGGCAGGGCTCCTCTTGGTGGGGGGCAGGGGAGGACGGGGAGGAGCCGTGGGGTGTCCCTGGGTGGGTGGCAGGAGGGCAGCATGTGAGGCAGATGCGGGCTGATGCCGGGCGTGAGAGGCGTGAGTGGCCTCCAGGTGTGCAGCGTGAGATGTGTGCACAGGGGGATGCGGGTGAGATGGCACACGAGGCATGCGTGGGCACATGCCTGTGTAGAGGTCATGTGCCTGAATCCAGGGGCTGCCCCCCCCATTCGGCTGTGGCCCTCAGTCCCACGGGCTTGGAGCCAGGTCCCTCAGACGTGCCCCTACCCGGCAGGCACAGAAATGTTTGCATAAGGTCCGGCTCAGGCAGGAGCTCAGGGCCGTGTCCCGAGACCAGGGTGCGCGCACTGTGTGTGCATGGCCCCCAGCCAGGGGCCGGAGGAGAGGTAGCCACACACACACACACACACACACACACACACACACACAGATGGGTGGGGCCTGGTCCAGCTCCAGGCGCTGCCTACCCTGGGCCCTGGGGGGCAGGGGCAGTGCCAGCCTGGCCTGTCAGGCCATGGAGGGATGGGAGCGTGGGTGGGGTCTGAAGGGCCAGTGTGAAGGGATGAGTCCACCAGGAGGGGCCTGTCCTTGCAGCTCCCCAGGTGTGGGGGCAGGGCCCTGCCCGGCATTTGCCTGTCCCTGGTGGGTCCCAAAGCTGGTGAGAGTGTGGTGTTGGGGGCCTGGCTGGCCTCAGCATTCGGCCTCTGACACCGTGAAGAGGCCGCCATCGGGCTGGCCCAGGCCGGCCACTGCCGCAGCCAGCTGGCTGAGGTTGCCGCTGGGGAAGTGCCTGGCCTCCCACAGGTTGAGGATCATGGCTGTGGGGCTGGGCTTGGAGGCGAAGAAGCTGAGATGGCTGCGGAGGGGAGGGGAGGGGGCCATCAGTGCCCGCATCACCCCAGGCTGCTGCCTCCTGCCCCCCGGCCCCCTCAAGGCAGGCCTTCCCTCTGCCAAGCATGCTGGATGCCCTGGCTGCTGGTGGGCGGGGCACAGGCCCCACTGAGCATCCTGTCCACCCCACCCACCCTGCCCAGCTGGGCTGCCGGTGGCCTTGGCCACCCCTCCCTGCCCATCTCCCAGGCACCTGTCCAGGTGGAGTTTCTGGGCCAGAGTCCGCCAGTCGGCACCCCGGCTACAGGGTGGGTCCAGGCTGCTAATGATCTTCTGCCGAATGAGGAAGGGGATCTTGAAGGCACTGGGGCCCACTAGGGCTGGGACCCCCCCTTCACTCTCCAGAGCCAGCAGCTCAGTGAATCTTGTGTCCTGGGCATGAGAAGGGGTGGAGAAGACTGTTAGGGCTTTCCCTGGTCCAGGCCCACCACAACTTCCTGCTGGGGGCATACCCAAGCCACCCAGAGTATGGTGTCGTGTGGGCACCACTGTTTCTCGGGCACCCTTTGCCGAGGTCAGAGGTGTAATGACCTGTCCAAAGCCAGTGAGCCTGGAGCCGTCAGCCTCGTCCCCTGACCTGCCAGCCCTTCCCCCATCTCCCTACCCAGCCTCTGCCAAGCACATAGGTGCCCAGAGCTCCTCTTGCCACCGTGTCCTTGAGCCCCACCCCGCTACCCGAGACACTGCCCTTCCTGCTCTGCTGTCTGTTTGACTCTTACTGATCCTTCTAGACCCGGTACAAAGTCCCTTCTCCGGGCTGCCCCACGTCCCTTTCCTGCTGCGCCTACACCCTCTTCAGCCCCTTCCCCAGGCCCGCTGCACCCGTCCACAGCTGTCTGTCTGCACCTGCACCTCCCAGCCCCTCGGACTGAAAGTGAAGAGGCCGAGAGGTTTCCTGGAGGAGGGGTAAGGGTAGGTAGGCCTGGGGGTGTGGCGAACAGGTGGTGCCGACACCCCTTCTGCCCACCTTGGTGATGTTGAAGTTGATGTTGAAGCTCTGCCCGTCCCCCTCCACCTGCCACACCCACACCTTGCAGGCCAGGTCGCTGGTGCTGGCGCTGATGCGCTCCAAGGTGAAGGTGCAGTGGAGGTGCTGCTGTGCGCCGGTCCAGATGTGGTAGAAGGGGATCTCCTGGGGGGGGGGCAGGGGAAGGCGTGGTGGTGTCAGGTGAGCGGGCGGCAGGTGTGCCTGGCTTCGGGAACTGCGAGTGCCCTCACCTGGTAGCTGACGAGGAGCTTGCTCTTCCACAGGGAGCTGGGCACATCGTGGATGGACAGGCGCAGGTTGTGGTAACTGTCCTTCAGGTGCAGGACTCGAGGCTCCTGGATCAGCTGTCCCCCCAGCTGCTTCTCCAGCTGCACCACCTCCTGCAGTGCCCCAGGTGGTCAGCGGGCCTGGGGCAGGGACAGCCCCCTCCTGCTCCCACTCCGCCCCCGGGGGCCGGGGGCAGCACCTTGAGTGCATCCCGGGTGTCGTGCAGGCAGTAGACCCGGATGTTGTACTCCAGGGAGGTGCAGGCCACAGGGGCAAACAGAAGCAGCTTGAGGCGCTTGGCAGCAGCCACACTGAGGGCCTCTCCCACCAGGGCGAAGCGGCCCAGCTGCTCCGTGAAGACGTAGCAGGCGCCGGCCTCCAGCTGACAGTAGTAGAGGTGGGAGGGTGACTCCTCGCCCAGGTGCAGCACGTCCTGTGGGCAGGCCCAACGGGTCAGCTCTGGACCCATGCGGCTCCCGGGCCGGGGCTGGCCAGAGACTGGGGCAGGGACCTGGCTCCGTGGGGAGTGGAGGACTCACCTCCCAGCTGCCCTCGCAGGACTGCTTTTTGAGGCGTAGGCTCCAGCTCTCTGGGCTGGGCTCCCCGCAGTGGTCCATGGCCAGGATGACGGGCCGCGTGAGCAGGACTCCAGGGGGCCCACAGCTAACGATGGGACTCAGCAGGGTCTGACAGCCGGCTAGGGGCAACCTCAAGTGGGGAAGCGTGGGTGGGGAGGGAAAGGTGTCAGCGGGCCTTACAGGACCTGGGCAGGATGGGACAGTGGCACCCAGCTCGGGGGGGCAGAGCTGGGTCAGGCTTAGGGGCAGCTGTTCCCTGGGCCCCTGTTCGCCAGACCAGACCAGACAGTGATGGGGCAGGGGCTTCCTGGTCACCGCAGGCAGGGGCGGACCCACCCAGCCCCCGGGGCCCGCGCCCGCACCTCACATCCTCTGGTTTGTGCAGCGTGAGGTAGACCTCGTAGATCTTCCCGCGGGGTATGGCGTCGGGGGGGATGAGGAGGCTGACCCCTGTGTCAGAGTGGGAGGAGGGCTGGACTCACCGGGGCTGTGCGGACACCAAATACCCCATCTGCCTGCCCCCACATGCGCCTTCCTTTGAAGACTGATTAGTGCTAGTCTGGCTGGGGACAGAGCTGCCACAGGGACGGTCCAACTACCCACATGGGTAGGAAGCTGAGGCACAGTGACCTCGAGAGAGGCCAAGGGAGCTTGGGTGGGAAAAGCATGTCCTGGACACAGAAAGCACCAAAACAAAAGGTGCCGGGTATGCTGCACCTGCCTCCCCATCACCCTCCCTGAGACGTTCCCGTTACTCCTACCCTATCAAGCCCAGCTCCCTGCCTGGCATTTACACCTCCGGCCCCGACTGCCTTCCCAGCCGCACCTGCAGCCCAGCCTGTGCTGCACTGCACACTCACCGTTCCAGGGCCACTATCCCGGCTGCCTCTGCTTGGGTGCCCCACCCCCTGCCCCACTCAGGCGTCCCCCGCTTCTGCCAGTGTGGCCACCTCTGGGGATGGCTGCTCTTGGCCACCCTGCTGGACTTTGCTTCTCATTTGGCAGTGGCCCCTACAGTGGGGCGGGGGCCCTGAGCAGCCTGGTCTGCTTTGGTGCTTCTCCCTGGTCTGGAAGCCATCGCACATGTGCCCTCCTGTCCGGCGGAGTCACCTCTGCCCCGGTGTCTTGCAGGGACAGCATCAGAAAGTGCCTGTTGAGTGTTCCAGGGGCGAAGTGGTGGGATGGGACGCGGGGGACAGAGGGTGTTGCTCTGGGCAGGGCGAATGGCGGCCCTGCCCCACCTTCCTGCCCTTTTAGGACAGGGAGCCCTCACATTAGGAGGGGAAAGAATTCTATGCCTTTATCCCACCGTGTCCAAAAGCACAGGCATGCCCTGCAGAGTGGGCGACTGGGTGGGCCGGCTGGAATGCTGCCACTCTCTGGGAACCGCAGTGCGGGAGAGGGGAGCGCTGAGTTCACTGTGACGGTTCCCTCCACCTGTCCCCGCCGCTGCTCCCAGCATCGGTCACAGTCCCAGAGTGTTCTCATCCGGTGAGTGCTCACACCAAGTGCCGGCACTCAGGAAGCAGGGGGAAACCACAGCCCTGCTCGCAGAAGCACCCAGCCCGGTGGGGGGGACAGAGTCCAAGGTGCTGGGGGCGACCACCTCAAGATGGTCACTGCATACCACGGGCACCTGCCCCTTCGTAAGAGCTTGGCGTGGACCGCCCAGCCTCATCCCCATGGCAGGGGTGTGAGGCTCAGAGCGGGGAGAGCGGCTGGGCCCTGGCCCAGGCCCAGGGTGGTGGGGGAGAGGGCCTCGTGCAAGCAGAGAGCGGCATGGTGCTCGTGGTGTGCTGAGCACCCACCGCAGCCCTGGTGGGCTTTTCAGGGGGTGTTGGGGAGCCCCGGAAAGAGTTCAAGCAGGGGAGAGACATGATGAAGTGTGGCTTCACTGGTGAATGCCAGGAGCTGTGAACCAGGCGACAGGCAGGCGTGGCGGCCTGGTTCGGGTAGGGTGGGCGCTGAGGGAAGATGAGGATGCAGAAGGAATGACAGGATGGCTGTGTGGCTGAGGCTGGTGCAGAGGTGGGGTGGGGAGTGAAGGGGAGCAGGGGGGTCAAGGTGATTCCCAGTTTCTGGCTGAATGTGCTGTCCCTGAGGTGGGGAAAGCCAGGAAGCAGGAGGCTCTGGGGGAGGTGGGAGACGGTGCTGTTTTAGGCACCAGAAATGTGAGGTTTTGTGAGACATCCAGATGGAGCTGCCCAGGAGGCAGCTGGGTGTGCGATTCTGTCACCCAGGAGAACTGGGCTGGGAATTTGGAGGAGGAGTGATCGGCTCAGACGTGGAGATCACAGCCGTGGAGTGCGTTTGGGCAGGCGCTGGCAGGGGCGCTGAAGGACAGCTACAGCCAGGGACAGGCCTCCAGAGCGGCTACAGTGAGGCCAGAAGACGGGGGCTCGGAGGCTCCTTTAAGCCGAGGGGAGAGAGTTTCAGGGTGGAAGTGGCCAGCCACACCAGAAGCCACAAAAGGTGACCACAGAAAAGGTCCGTGGATTGTCTATCCAGGTGTCTCACGGCTGGTCAGAGGGGTTTCTGGGAGATGGTGGGTGGACAGACCCCCTGTCTAGTCTAGGCGCCAGTCTTCTGCTGTCCCTTCACCTGCCCAGCTTGAGGCCAGCCCTCCCCACTACGAGCCTGGCACATGCAGGCTGGCTGCGTGCAGGAGTGGACCGAAACCCTATGCCCTAGGCCACAGAAACCAAACAGCTCTGGCCACTGCCTCAGTGCCGGCACCCTGCCAACCACACCGCATCCTCTCCCAAACTACCCGCTCTCCTTGCCGACCTGGCTCAGCGTTGGGGCGAGTCTGAGCGGCGCGGGAAGGGCACCAGGGATGTCCCCTCCTCCTCCATGAGGGTCATGGAGGCTGGTCTTGCCTCCCAGAGCCCCGGGGGCCCTTCGCCCCACCCCCCACCTGTGTGCGGGATCATCAACCGGCCCCCGAGGAAGTTGAAGGTGCCGTAGGCCACGTTGCTGGTGCTGCGCGGCAGGGAGCGGAAGTAGTTCTGGGCGGACAGGCGGGAGACGAAGTCCTCCGCCTCGGAGGTGGGCGAGCGGTGGTGCAGCGTGTGGCGGCCACCGCTCAGCGGGCTGAGCAGGTGCCCATTGCTGAGCTGGAACTTGGGGCTGGGCCCATCCTGCCGGGGACACAGGCCGCCCTGGTAGGTGGTGGTGGTGGTGCTGAGGTCTGGCTGGATGGTAAGCAGATGAGGGTTGTCTGTGGGACAAAGACAGACTCAGGGGGTGGCGCTGGGGGCGGCCCCAGCCGAGCGGCCCTTGGCCTGGGGCCAGGGCAGGAGTGCTGAGGGAAGGGGCCCCACACCTGCTTTGCTGGGCTTGATGCTGACGGGCTGGAAGCCCGAGGTGAGGATGGACGAGTCGGCCACGTCCGAGTCCAGCCCCTCCTTCTTGCGGCAGTACACGAGGATGAGGGCGAGCAGCAGGAGCAGCAGACACACGGCCACGGCGACCAGGCCCACGTAGAGGGCCACGTCCTCGGGCCCGGAAGCAGCTGTGGGAGAGAGCGCGGCCTTGGAGGGGCGGCGTGGGGGGTGGGGGAGGAGAGGCCAGCGGTCTCCATTCCAGGGGGCGAGGCCCCATTCCTGGGCATGCGCACTCTGGGCAGCCGATGCCGGCTCAGGGAGCGTGGAGCCCCAGCCCTGCAGCGGCCATCACCTCACAGCAGCGGCAATCCTCGAGCAAATCGCATTCCTTGGAGGCCCAGTTCAGGCTGAGGTCGCTGCCGTGGGAATCAGAATCGGGAGAAGAGACACTTCCCCAGATGGCCTGGGGCGGGGCTGCTAGACTGAACTTGTTCTTTGGGGGCCTGGGGCAGATGGGGCTGTGGGGACCTCCCAGGATCCTCAAAGCAGGGGAGCTGCTTCCTGGGGGGGTCTGCCAATCTGGTTCCTGGGGTCCCTGCCAGGGCTCCTGTCATTGTCTTCCTCTGCGGGCCTGGGGCAGGGCAGGGAGGGGTGATTGAGTGCCTGGAGGAAGTGGTATTGATTTTAGAAGGGCTTTGTGTAATGGAAGAAATGTCCATCAGAGAAGAATTGACACAGATAATTAGGTTTTTAATTGAAAGAATGGGGGAGGGTGTGTTCCAGGGGAAAAAAATCCAACTGAGATCTTTAATTGTTAGTTATGGCCTTGTAATTAACCAGCCGCACAAGCCTGTGTCCCCACAAGACTCGCATGTGCCCATGGGGGACGGGGAGGAGGCAAAGCTGCAGGAGGGGTGGGGGTAGGTGTGGGGCATGTACCCGGGCTGCGTGCGCACAGTAAGCCTCAAATGTATGCACATCCAGGGGGGCAAGGGGTGTTTTGGGGCATACAAGGGCTCATGAGTGGGTGTTCATGGATGGAGGCCCCTCGAGGGTCCTGAGCTGGGAGAGGGTGCAGCCCGTGACAGGGGACTGCCTTGCTTGGCCACCATGTTCCTGGGGCTGGGCAGGTTCCGTTCTGTCAACTGGAGAGGCCTCACAGGCGGAGAGCACTCACTGTGCACGCAGAGGTCGCTGGTGCAGTTGCGGGTGTCCAGGTCAGCACCCCGGCACTCCTCGCCTCCGTTGCGGGGCGCCGGGTCCGCGCACTCGCGGCTGCGCCAGTGGGTGCAGTCCAGCCCACAGGCTGACCACTTGCTCCATGGGCTCCAGCTACCATCCACTGAATGGGAGACAGACACGGACAGAGAGGGCAGGGCACTGTTAGCCTGGGCAGCCAGCTCGGGCTCTGGTGTGAGGCCAGGCCCAGGCCCAGCAGTCTGCAGGCCCTCAGTGTCCAGCTGGCCTGGGTGACACATGCTAATGATGGGAGGCACGATGACCCTTGTCCCACACTGACTACACCTTTCCTGACTCTGCCTGGGGCCCTGGGACGCAGACCCCTGCGGTGACTGAGCTGGACACACCGGCGGAGCCCTGCCTCCAGCGCACGGAACCCTGTCCTGGGCTCGGACTGAGCCTGGCCCTGTGTGTGGGCAGGTGGGATGGAGCCCTGGGGGCAGGCTGGTGGGCACGATGGAGCCAGGGCGCGGAGATGGCGTGGTGAGGAGCGATGCGGGAGGCGGCGGCCGCTGGTACCTGGGCACAGGGTGGCGCAGGCTGTTTTCTGGACATTCTGCCCCTCACAGAAGGCGCCCCCGTTGAGAGGCGCCGGGTTGGTGCAGCTCCGGCTCCGTTTCTGCCAGCCGCGCCCACAGCTGGCGCTGCAGACGGACCACTCGGTCCACGTCGACCACCCACCGTTCACTGGCCGGACAGAGAAGGACTGGGGTCAGGGAGCGGGGGCTTCCTCTGACACGCTGGCCCCGGGGCTGGGGCAGGAGGGCTGGAAGGGAAGCCCTGGAGGGGAGGCCATGCTCTGTGGACTGTCCCCAGGCGGGCAGCACCCGCTCCCCAGCCCCTTCCTTCCACTGGCAGGTGCCACGGGCACTAGGGGCAGCCGGCCCTGACTGCAGCTCTGCGTCCCTCCGGCTCAGATGCCAGCGTTTCACAGGGGCGACTCCCACCCCCTCCCTCTGCCTGCTCCTAGGGGTGCCCAGGACACTGCTTCCCACCTGAAGTCACCTTTCCTAGCCTCCCTCTGAGCCCTCACCTCCTTCCGCACAACGCCCCTGCCCACAAAGAAGCCAAGGCGTTGCTGTGGCCCCTTGCCTTCGCCCAGACACGCCCTGCGGCTCCCCGACAGCCACAGTGGGGCCTGCCTGGCCCCGGCTCCCTCAGGCCCCGGCTCCCTCGGGCACCAGCCGCAGTGCTGTTCTGAGGACCCCTTCTGTGGCAGCCACCCCCCCCCCCCCGCCAGAGCCGGGGCCCACCGTAGACGATGACAGCCGCGGAGGCACTGCGGCGGCGAGCCACGATGTTCTTGGCCACACAGGTGTAGTTGGCCGTGTCGGCCAGGCGGGCCTGCCGCACCACCAGGCTGTGTTCCCGAGTGACGTACACATTGGGGTCCAGGGAGGGGTCCACCAGGTCCTCGTTCCGCAGCCACTCCACCTGGGGAAGGAGCCACACCCTGCACAGCCGCCCTTGTCCAGGCTGACAGTGGCCCTGGGGGCAGTCAGCCTGGTGGACTGGGCAGAGCCTGGGAGCCCTCTCACCTCTGCGGGGGGGATGCCCTCCGGCGGGCGGCAGGGCAGCACGATGCCCTGTTCCAGGGACACCTCCTTGGCCAGCGGCTCCTGCTCGAAATTCTTGCGAAGATCTGGAAGAGCAAGAGTGTCCTGTGGCCTGAGCACCTCACACTGGCCAGCCTGGCCTGCTGTGCCCTCCTATCCTGCAGGGGGCCACGGCCCAGGGCAGAAGGATGTGCCAAGTGCCCAGGGGCCAGGCGGTAGCTGGGCAGGGCCCACAGACGCTCCCATCATCAAGGTGGGAGCTGAGGCTTTCTGACAGGGACCCTCCCCATGCCACCCTGGGGCCAAGCCCTGAGGGCGGGCCTGCACTCACAGGCGATGCGGATGTAGGCCTTCTGGCTCTTGGTGGTGCCCGAGGAGCTCCAGGCCACGCACTGGCACCAGTACTCCTCCAGCCCAAACACCTTCTCCACCTGCTGCCGTGAGACATTGATGCGGACCTCCATGGTGGGCAGGCCTGGGGAGGAGAGGGCACAGCTAGGGCCCAGCTGTGCCAAGCCTTCCTGCTCCAGTCCAGAGAGTGGACACTGGGGTGGTTCCCAGCCTGCAGAGAACTCTGGGGGGCCCACGGGGAGCCCGGTTTATTTCCCCTGGTGGCCAGGAGTAGATCTGAGCACTCCCACTCGTCATACGTCGTTACTCAGTGACCTGTCTCCCTCCAGTTAAAGAAACGTCCCTAGCAGGGCATCCGGCAGCAGGGGTTGGCCTCCCCGGACCCTAGGAAGAGCCGGTGGAACAGACTGGCCACCCCTGAGGGCTTGGTGGGTGTAAAGGGATGAGGAAGAATCTGGCTCAGATCCCTGGGGGTTAGCAGGTGGCTCCTGACAGTGATAATATAATAGCGGCTATTAACAATATAATTACGCCATTGCCTAGTGTGATAATAGACCCCTGGGCTTAGCAAGCAATTCCCACATGCTGGCTTGTTATCTCTGCCGACCCACCCCTGGACCACACGCCCCCTCCCTCCCTCCGAGGAGGAGAGGGCGAAGGCTCCCAGGAGCAGGGCCTTGCCAGAGAACTCCCTGCTGTGGAAGCATCCTCAGGGTGCCCTGGGGTCCCCCTGGGGAGGCCTGGGCTGTGACGGGCATTGGGACCCGCTCTGCACTACCTGGGCGGGGGACCCCTCTCCGGAATGGACTCAGTCCCCTGCCCTAGAACACACTGGGACCCAGGGGCGGGGGCGTCAGGAGGGCCCAGACCTTCCGAGGGCCCAGATGGGGACAGCAGCCCTCTCCTCCAGCCTCCTGGCCAAAACCAGTGTCCCAAGAGTGAGAAAAGACTATGTGTTTCCAATTTCTCCTCCTTCTGACCCCAATTTCCCTCGGGTCATTGGCTTATCAGAAAGAGGGAGAGAGGCCGGCAGCAATGTGTTTCCATTGTTAACAGAGAAATTCAATTAGGGCTGCGTTGCAGGAGGGGCAGCAGCCCAGCTGAGCAGGGAGGCTGGTTTCTCTCTTAATTTCTCCTCTGCGTCTTCCCTGCCCCCTGCCCACAGCCCTCCTCAGCCTGCCCCCACCCCCACTCCCATGTCGGCCCCAGACTTTCCCCTCCCAACTTTCCTAGCTTGCCCTGTGTGGCTAGTTCTCACAGGAGATAGGGGGCGGGGGTGCCTGGGGTTCTTGGGGCGGGGTGAGGGCTGAGAACTGAGGGACCCTCCCAGGGCTGTGTACAGGAGAGGGCCTAGGCATCAGCCACCTGTCAAACACACCAAATCCATGAACACGCCCCAGAGACACAGGCCTCCAGAACTTTCTGAGCTGGGAAGTTTTCCTCCCTGGCAGACAGGTCTGTGAACTGGCCACTCCATCCCCCTCTGGGGTGGGGGAGCAGAGCGCACCGCCCGGCAAGTCAGCCTGGGGGAACGGCACTAAATTTAAGCGAGCCTATTTCTTTCTCCCCACCTCCTCCCACTCCTGTCCTGCTGCCTCCTCACCTCCTTCCTGCTGCCGGGAATGACAGCCAAGTTTGCCCAGCACCTACCGCCTCCAGGCCGCGCCCTGGAGCCCCAGGAGCTCTGGGGGGGGGTGTGTGTGTGGCGGGAGGGCAGACCCAGGGGTCCAGTAGGTGCCTGGCTGTGCCTGCCTCCCTGTGAGTCACTGAGCAGCCTGAGTCCTGGGGGCATTCTGGGGCCCAGTTTGAGCAGATGCGGGGTCTGGGAGGGGTCCCTGCAGGCCCAGGAGTGGTGGGGCGGCAGGGGGAGGCAGGGCACGTGGGAAGGCCCCAAGGGGCTTCTGAGTGCTCTGGGGGCTACGTGATTGGTGGGGTGGGGGCTCAGGCTCTCCTTGCCAACCTGCATCTAATGACCAATCAGTTTGTGGGACACAGTAAATGACACCCCCAGGCTGGACTCTGGTACTTGACTTTGCAGATTTCAGGCTTTTCCAGTATGAGCAGGTATGGGTCCCTAACCCCTGGTCTCCTGGTTAGGGAATGGGGGCAAGTGAGGGGGGACGGGGTGCTGCCCAGCCGCCCCCAGCCCCACCCATGAATGGGTATGACTGACCTCTGATCACTGCCACGGGTGATCAACAACCACAGGCCGTCTCTGGGTCAGGGGCTGCATGTCTGCATGTCCGCATGGCGCTGCGGCTGAGACGTGTTTGCGGGTAGGTAAGGGAAGCCTCTCTCCAAGCTCCAAAGCACTCAGTGGCTTTGGGTTGAGAAATCAACAAGATCGATGAAAACTCAGAGGCTCTTGACCAGGGGAGACCTGAGGTGGGGTGCTCAGGGCAGGAGGGTCCTGGTCGTGCGGGTGGGAGATGGCCCCATGAGCGCTTTGCGCTGTCTGGCTGGAAGGGAGCAAGGCCAACAGAGCCTGGCGGGGCCCCGGTGTGCGGGCTGGGCCAGGGATCCCCGACCTCTGGACAGCAGGAGAGAAGAGAGGGGAGGCGGGGAGCCCTGGGGGGCAGGCCTGGGGCCTTCCAGAGGTTCCGGGACAGAGCCTCACAATTGCAGAAAGGCAGGTCTCTGGTCTGTGGCTTCCTCCTCCTCACCTGTCCTTTCCCTGGAGAACCCGACACAGCAGTGGGAGGACTTGTTGGCATTGGTGGCCTGGGACACCCCACCCCTCATCTCTCCCTGACCACTTGCTCACCCTGCTCCATTCCCCTGTCACCTCCCCAGGCAGCTGCAGTCCCCAGCCCTCGCTCCCAGGTTGCTAAGCTGCCCGCCTCTCTGCGGGGGCTGCGTCCATGGCATGGAGCGAGTGCTCGGGGACTGTGAGTGGACACAAAAACAAAGTAATCACAGAGTGTGGGAGCCGTGAGCTCTTCTGTCATCTGGGGCCTACTCCCTCCGAGCCTCTTTCCTCTGTGGATACAGCTGCCTGGGCTGACAGGGCAGTGGGGACCCCTCCTCTGCCCAGAGCCCCCAGGCATTCTTGGGGCCTTCCCTCCTCTCCCCCACCAAGCTGTGAGGGCTGGTGGGGGGCTCCCAGGGCAGGCCTTGGGGGATGCACAGAAGCCCTCGGTGGAGTCTTGCCTCTCCTGGGGATCTGGGTGGTAGAGACAGAGCTGGCGACATCCTGGCCCCATGACACCCATGGCGGCAGTGCCCTGCAGGCCCCCAGCTGGGCCCCCCTTCCTGCAGCCTGCCCGCTGCGCAGCCGGCCTCACCGCTGCTCCCGTCCGTGCTGTGCTCAATGGCGTGGTCCGTCTGGCGCACCCACTCCCCGTTGCACTTGAAGAAGATCTGCGTGGCGGGCCTGGCCTTGCACACCAGAAGCACCGGCTTGTTCTTGACGATGTACACGTCCTCGGGTTCCACCAGGAAGTGGGGGAACAGGTCTGGGCTGACGCCGGGCACCGGGTTGGCCACCGTGGCGCTCTGCTGGGCACCTGCAGCAGGGTGGAGCCAGGGGTGGGGGGGAGCACAGTGAGCCAGGATTCTGCTGGGCTGGGGGGCCCTCTGGGGGCTCCCTGCCATTCAGGGCGGGGCTGGGCCATGGGGAGCTCGTTGCTGGGGGGCCGAGGGAGGAGTGAAGCTGGGCTGCTAAATGTCCTGCTGCCGCCTCAGAGTCCCCCTCTGTAAAGTGGGGGAAGAGTAGCCCCTCACTTCTGAAGACTGCGGAGCGATGCAGTAGTCAGGCTTGTCATGGCCCTGGTAGGAGTTCGGGGATCAGGTGAGACAACCTACCCCCTGGGAGAAAGCTGTTGTGGGGGGGCAGGGAAAGAGGACCCCAGCAGGGGGGCAGTCTCTTCCCTGCTCCAGCTGCCTCCAGGCGGCTTCCGGGTTGACCCCTATTCCTGGTCCCTCACACAGTAGGTGCTCAGAAAATAACATGTGAATAAAGGAGGGGAGGGGCAGAGCTTATAGGAGAGACCCCGGGGAGGGCCGGGTGGCCTGGGCTGGCATGGGATGGGAGCCAGGACAGTGTCTAGGAGCCTGAGGGACCTGGGCCACATCCCACCCTTCAAGGAGACCTGAATGTGGGTTTCCTTCTAATTTTAACTGAAAACCACAAGCATCCCACAAGTCATTTGTTGCTAATTACACAGGTAATTGGCTCTGAGGCTTTGGTGGAGGTAAAGCCCCAAGTCTCACAAGCTGCTGGACCAGCAGGGCCCCTGAAGGCAGGGCTGGGGCGGGGGAGGTGAGATAAGGGGGGCACCCTCAGTCCCTCCACCCAGCTGCCCACCAGACAGGTCACTGACAGCCCTGCCTCCCTCAGAGCTGCAGGGATGTCCCCACAAGCACCCACTCTGTCCACAGTGGCCTCTACGCCAAGAGGGGAAGAAGGCTTGAGAGGCCACTTCTGTCCCCTGCCAGTGGTGACCTGGGCCGAGATGCTGTCTTCCCTGGGAGGGATCTGGAGGCGCCACACCCTTCCCACAGGCCTCCCCAACTCCCAGCGGGCTTGTGCCCACCCTTGGAAGCATCCACACGGCCCTCCCCTCCCGCCTTTTAAAGGTGGGAATTGACCCCCTCTGCCCCAAGTGTGTAGTTTTTGGGAGGGGACCTGTGCAGGGTCATGCAGGTGTCCAGGGCCAGGCAGGTGGGCTGGGAAGGCCTGCTACGAGGCTGACAAGCCTGGTGTGACTTCAGGAAAGCCCCCCAGCCCCACAGCCACTGCACTCGCCGAGGAATGGGGAGAGAGCACCGGGTTCCGAGGGCGGCTGTGAGGCCGAGGCAGAACCAGGGATCAGCGCGGGTTTGGGGAGCGCAGGCTGCTGCCAACACCCAGGGCTCCTGAATGAGGATGGCAAAGGGCTGCGGCTCGGAATGCTCACAGCGTCTCTGCAGGGGTTCGGGCTGACGAGGAGGAGGTATTCACAGAGCTAATGGGGCCTTACCCGCAAGACGGGGTGGTGGGGATGCAGGCGGAGGGGAGAAGCCCTTTAGGTATCTTACTAATGGGGACTCTGAGACCCCCAGACACCCCACCTCCGGCCCTGGACTCAGAAAGTGTCTGGGAGGGGCAGCCTCCTGCCCTCTCATTATTCCATTTGCTCTTCACCGTCACTCAGCAGCTGCTCTCGAGCCCTGACCCAGGCAGCAGGCTCAGGCGACAAGGTCTAGAAAAGGGACAAGCTTCCGAGTGTGGACCTGCAGTAGGGACCTGGAAGTGGCCTCTCTAGACATTTCTCGGGGAAGCCACAGCAGCCCAGCAGACTCCGGGCTGAGGCGGACCCCTGAAGGAGGCTTGCAGGGGCTTGGGGGCAGGGCCGCAGGCTTGGGGCCACCCCTCATGGAGATTCAGCATGGCCTGCACCCGCCTGCTGGCTGGGGCTGGATGGGCAGGGGTCCTGGCTGGGGCCACGGATGGGGTGGGGCACGTGGCCCTCCAGTCCCTCTGGCCATCAAAGCGCCAAGCACCACTCCCGGTGGCTGCGCACTGAACCCAGCACCATCCCTTGTGTCTGCATTTAACTGCTAATGAAAAATAAATGTACTGTGACCAATAAGTGACATAGCTCACTTCTCCAGGGTCTGCATCAGGCCACACTGGTGTGGCCTCCCCTCCTCACCCCGAGGCTGCATTTATGGGGTAGGACTCGAGGGAGACCTTCTGGGCGACTGCAATGCCCTCCAGCAAGGACACTCCAAGGCCACAGGTGAGGGCCCATCCCAGCCCCCTGGTGACATCCTGGGGCTACAGAAGCTGCCTGGGTGGCCAGAACCACCTTCCTTCCCTCTGGGCCCTGAGCCCACTCTCAGTTCTGTCGGGCAGTCGGCACCGATAGCCTGGCCGACACCTCAGTGTCCCAATGAGGCCTGTCCCCTCCACACTTCGGGCTGCCAGAGGGAGTACTTTTTAACAGGAATACTATACTTGCCTATCAACGATAATACAAGGCAGTGCATGCTCACTGCCAAATGACTGATGATCCTTTCAACAGGGCAGGTTGGATAGTTCACCGCAGCCCCCACCCCTCCCTATTGCCCCTCTCTGGGCTTGCTTCAATTTCTGTTGTCTTCCTGGCTCCCACAGGCATTTCGGGATGGTGTCAAGCACCTTTGGCTGGTATCACTGAACCAACCCCCTGCTCCGGCCCAGTCAACTCTCCAGCCTTCCCATGCAGATGCCTACTGCCCCCCCCCCCCCCCCCAGGGCACTGTCTCTGCCCGCAGTCTGCACCCTGTCTGAAACCCCTTCCCTCCAGGTCTGCCAGCGCTCTCCCACCTTCTCCTCAGGGCCCAACTCCATGGCCACTGCCTCTGGGAAGAGGGATCCCCCACGTCACCCCCCAGGACAGCACACGGGCTGCTCGGCCCTCTCTGTGTTTGGGGCCGGCCCTCACTGTGCTGCAGTTCCTGCCACAGGAGGGGCCAGTGAGGGGCTGCGGCCTCCGTCCCCACTGCCAGCCTGTCCACCCCTGGTCCCTGCTGACCAATCCAAGGCTGCCTAGTCCCATGCTAGTGACTGGGGTGCCTGTCCCCGCTTCTTTTGGGGCTTCTGAGGTGACAACATGGGAGAAATGCTGTCCCAGGCAGACACTCCAGGGCTACAGGGGGCAGGAGGGGGCAGGAGGGCGCAGAGCCCACTGGCTGTGTGGCCCTGCCACCTCCCGAACCCCACCCCAAGTTGTCCAGAGGCCTCCCCCCCACCCCCAGCTTTCCCGCCGTCACAGGACATGGCCCAGCTGTGCCCTGGAATTCAGGAGGAGATCTCCCTTGCTTACTTAGCCATCCCGATGGGCTCTTGGTCACCAGGACTTGGCAGATGGCTCAGCCCCTGCTGTGGGAACCCAGCTCAGTGAGCCCTGGGGCTGGTCTGCTGGCCCCCACCTGTCTCAGGAAGCATTGGTGCCTCTGCTCTGGCCGCTCCATTCAGGGTGGCAGGCACGATCCCAGCCGTGACCCACCACTGGCCCTGGGAAGACCACGCCTGAGTGTGTGCCATGTGTGAAGGGAGGCTGGGCCCGCGGGGGCATGAGAGACCAGCGGGGTGGACCATGGTGGGCCTACCTCATGTGGTTCATCTGGGAACATCCACCCAGCTTTCAGTATCAGCAAATGCGTCGCCTCCTCCAGGAGGCCTCCCTGGATCTGTACTCTTTGTTTCCTGCCCGAATGCCTGCCTGTGCTCCGAACTTCCCTCTGGGGTGCACACCGCATCCAGAACAAGGGTGGGTTTGTCTGCCTATTGCCACTGCTCGGGACAGGACCCCAGGTCTGACCTGGATACTGATGGAGGACTTGCTGAGTGACTGAATGACCACCCTTTCTGCTCCCCTGAATTTCAGATCTGCCCATTAGTGGCCCCTTTACTCCGCAGGGAGCCCTGAGGGGGTGCAGAGCAGCCCACAGCAGAGCTGCTGGCGCGCCAGGAGAGGGGTCTGCACCGCAGGCTGCCCGCCTACCCACATGCTACTGCTCCGCGGCAGAGTCCCCTCTTCTTGCCTGCAGTTGGGATGATAAGACCTCCCCTGCGACTCCGAGGCCCAGGGTGGGTGTGAAAGTGCTTTCAAATGTTTTATTTTTAAAGGCACCACGAAAATATGAGGTGTGATTAAATCAAGCTATTAGCCAGCTCGGGTTTACTGTGCGGGACTCAGTCTCTGGGAGCAAGAGGGGTAGGCAGGCTGGGGGCAGGGGGTGCCTTTCATCCTCACAACCCCCCACCTCAGGGACAAGCAAAGGGGTGGGGTGGCAAGCCCCCACTTATTCTACTTCCCTGAGAATGTTGTGCATTTGGAGGAGGGGGCTGGGGCCTAGCAGCCTCCGTCCTACTCCAGTCCTACCGCCAACACCCCCCCACCCCGCAGCACTGAACCCCCCTCCTGCAGCACTGAACTGGGGGCCTGGGCTCCTAGCCAGCCTTGACTGCTGACATGCATTTGGTAGGTGCGCTTGGGTGGGGGTGTTGTGCTCCACAGGCCGAGGCAGACGGAGCAGAGTTCCCGGGGCCCACAGCCCCCGCCCCTTGCCCTTCCCACGCCCTTCCCTGGGGTTGGAGGCCCTGCTGCCCCAGGGCCTGACCTGCCACCTGGCCTCGCCTGGAGGACATGCCAGGTGCCCTCACTGTCTGCATTTCTTCAAGGGCTGTGTCCCAGCTCTACCCCCTTCAGCTAACAGCACCCAGGAGTGCCCACCCCCACGCCATCCAGGCCACACAGTCATTCCGTGCAGGCGGGCTGACTCAGTCTCTGGCCCCAGAGGTGAGCACTGGACACTGACTGGTTCCCGGAGCAGGTCGCTCTGCCCAGCAGGTGGGGTTCTGGGATTTGGGCTGGGCTGCTAGAAGAGAGAACCTTCCTCTGGGGGGCTGGTGCTGAGGCCCCAGGGAGGTCTGGCAGAAGGGGAGGGGCAGGGCCGGCTGGGTCTGACGTGAAGAGCCACCAGGGAAGAGAGGGGCCGCGGCCTTGGGGCCTGGGCTCCCACCAAGCCTGGACCC